TACTTCATACTTCAAAAAGGTGTGTAGAGTTTAGTTATCCTAGTGCGAGCCGCTACAAAATTTACAGGGGGTCTCCAGACTTGGAAAACTGTAAGTTAAATTTAACTTCAGAGAATTTCAATTGGCTCCCATTTTTACTGGATTGAGATAAAGACCTCTAGTTTGCGTTGTTGGTTTTCTTTTACCAGGACCTTCAAAATGAGGGGTCAGTCGATGGGTCTTTGTATTTGAAACTTTTGAGTTTCCCCCATTTTGGGGATTTACACCAAGTGATGGTTATGCCCAAAAAGTACTTCATAACATGTCAAAAAGGTGTGCCGAGCTTAGTTTTTCTAGTATGGGCCGTTAAAAAAATAACAGGGGGTCTCCACACTTTTTACTAACCCTGTATATGTATGTCTAAGCTTGTATGTCTTTCCTTCTTTTAATAACAACTCAATTGCTAAACCCAATACACTCTGCATACATAAAGATTAACATTAGGATTTATGACATGTATCATACATGTCATAAATCCTAGATACATGTCATAAATCCTAATGCTAATCTTCTTGGATGTGAGAGGTTTGGGATGCCGTCTATACAGGGTGCGGCAAAAAAACCGATCTATTTTCTTCAGTGCACTGTTACAATGATAGCCTATACAATGCCATTTATTGTAGTCATAGAGCAGTGGTTGTATGAGCTACGTGCGGTTGTTATCTAGTCGTTTTTAAAAAGTAATAAATCAGTCATTGCAGCTTAGTGGTAGTTCCGTGCTTTTATTCTATTAGGTCGACATGGAGAGGTTCCGTCGTGCGGTTATCTGTTTGGTTAACAAAATTAAACAGATTATTATTCTAATAATACGTAGGAATGAAAATTAACTTCAAAATTTGTGTAACTGAGCAGTTAGACATGTCCAAGGCAGCCGCTTGTTTTCAGGCGGAACTTCGATGTCTGTTTTCCGCAGCAGCACAAACTCTATCGAATATCAAGTTGTCTGGCGTCCGATCTGACTTTGGACGGCCGTCCAGCTTCCTTTTCAACGCAGAAGCCGTTTTTCTAAGTTAGTAACCCACCGCATTATTGTTATACACAACGGAACTTCTCCATGTCGCTTTAATTGAAAATTGAAAGAATGCATGAAACTGCCATTGAGTTGCAATTAATTCAATAATTTTTAAAACGACTCCATAACAATCACACGTAGCTCAGGCGACCACTGATGATGACTACAAAAAATTGCATTGTGTAGGCTTTTCGGTGAGCCTACTCCCACCACTCTCAGACGACCTGTCGCTGAACAGTGCTCTGTAAAAAATGGATCGGGGTTTTTGGCGCACTCTGTACAAAGAGATTTCAAATAATAAACTTTTTCTTCAAAAAAGGTGTTGCAGTAGTCTAAATGGCAAATTGTTAGTGGCTGCCTGTAGCCTTTGCCTAGAGCATTTCAAGAATTTAGTATGTCAAATAATTAATCTATCTTTTTGATAAACAGAACTGTAGCTAATGAATTTTGAAAATCTGGATGCTGGATGTATTAATCTAAAAACTCAATGGCATTGGCAACACTTGATTTGAGGGTTTTTGCTGCCAGAGACTTTATTTTTTTTTTGTAGAAGTATATATGCTGCTTTGATATTGCATTGCAAAACTTAGGGTCTTCCATTTCTTGTAGCTCCTGGAGTTTAACAATGTATGACCAATAGATTTCACCATCGGAACTAGGAGACTTCTAACTACTTTGCTCTCTGCCAGTGTGTTTCTTAAATCTTTAGCATGTGACACACATCAAACATACCTACGATAAACATTCAAAGATTTGTCTGATGGATAGTTTGAAGGAAGATGTAACTTTGACTGAGTCTAAGCAGCAGCCAAGACAATTTATGGCACGTGTATTCACTGATGTACCATCATGTTATTGATCATGTATTAATGCCGATTTCATGCAGTTTTGTTAAACACACTTTCGCCATTTCAGAAATTATCTCTGCTGATATACCATATACCACTGGTAAAAAAGTATGCTACTGGGCATTTAATGTTTTGTGTAAGACACAATCTGGAAGACAAGTGCTTCTTTTGCAAATGTGTTTGATAATGAAGCAGAAATACCTCTTAATTTACACATCCTGAATAGGTTTTGTTTTTAGGATCCCAGGTCAGTTGTTTCCTGATGGACATTGAGTAAAATATTAGAGAACATTCTTTCAAGTGGGAAAAGTTGGGATCTGCTTTTTTTACTTCCAAAAATTGAAGCACTTCACTTAAATACCCAGGTTTGCAGTTTACAGATAAAATCCAATCAGTAATCCTATTGGGATGAGGCAGATGGAAATGTTTTCTTAAAAATATTGTGGATAGTAAAAGTGCAGGGTCATCAAACATTTTTTCATAAGCTCTGTATAGTGTATCACACTCTTGTTTCTTAGAATTTTTTTTCATTCATTAATAGTTCTTAGGGGTATCCGCTGAAATGATCTTTTAGCACTGATTCCAGATCAGGATTTAAATTAGTCTTTCTTTTCAGCTCTTTAATTAATTCGGAAAAATTCCTCATTTTCATATCTTGTCTGTGAAGCATGTTTTTCAAACATTTGACACTTCTTCTGAATACTTTGATACTTTTCAATGCAATTGCGACCATACAAGGTAGGTATTCTAAGCCAAGTATGAATGGAGATGAGTGTAGGATGAGTGGTACGATCTTGTAGTCTTGTTAGTGACTAAAGGCCGACTTATTCTTTAGACACAGGTGTTAGTTAATAGCATTAGCTTATACAGCTAATGGCAACTAATGGACTTACAGTTTATAGTGGAATCCGAACCACATTTTTGCCTCGGTATATACGAATTGCTCTAATTTTCAGGATAGTACTGCGGATAGTCGTAGTACTCACTGCTGCGGACGTTAATCCACACCAGGGAGAATCACATCCACAGTGCATGAATGATGAATGCATCCTTAAACTAATGAAGGACAAATTTTAAGGGTTAGTAGTTGAGAAGTCATAATGGTTTGACTTGACATGGAGGGGATCGTTGAGTAGTTGGATGGTAACTATCTTCATTCAAATTATACATTTGAGGAGAAACAGGTGAAGGATCATGCAAAGCTAATGTTTCTGGTACGGAGTCTTCATGCATCATCTCTGTGTCAAGTGAAGGATCAACGTCTATTTCAGGAGAGTATGGAGAAGGATCGGGTGAAAGATCACCCCTTAAAACAACAGGGTTATTTAACTTTTTAACATTTTTTTAAAGTTTTTACTGTACTAACATTTTATAGATAATTCACCCTACATTCATAAAAATACATACAAAAGATTTAGTCTAAAAATAGTATTTCAGCTCAAGCAGAACTGATAAGTCTGAACAAAATTATCTTTGCACTCTATGTAGCCTTCAACCAAATGAAACTGCATATCACTTTATAGCAATTTTTCCTATTTCAAAACTTAAAAAGTATGTTCAACATAGATGTTCAGGAGTTCTTAAATTATGGGGGCTCTTATATTAAGGAGATGGTGTTGGGCTTACCGGTACTTGAAAAGAACTAGGGTTATTTACAAATTAAAACACTGAGAAAATATGTGAAGACAAATTAATTGTAGGGAACATGTAACAAGGGAATTAAATATTAAATAACACACTATATGGGGAAATTAATACTACACAACAAATGATCATGAAATGTAATGCTAAATAAATTGAAATTATGTGAACAACGTACTTCCATAATACGTCATTAGAAGAGAGAAATTCAATCAATTATTCGTCCTTGTTGGAGAATTTGGTCTTCTGGACGATAGTTACTTCCGACTCCAATGCACAAGAAATGCCTGTTACGCAACGTAACTCAGATTTGACTGCTCTGAAAGCAGTCGGTTAAATACGCAGCTATTGGTGCTACTGCTATTTGATACACTGACTTGGAAACCGCTTACACAAAACTCCATAAGACAAGTGTGCTGCGTCTTAGATGCCCACACGCAGTGCATCTATTACGCGTCTAGGAAACCACAGCCTTAGTCTAGGGCACCCCCTCACTTGGTTCTGAAGGTGGACCAACACCCAGTGGCAGAAGGTAGCTCTCCGCAGCTAACAAGTGAGAGTTGGAGTTTAGGTGTGGCCAATCTGCCAAAACAAACCCCGCATGCGAGGTTTGGCTGGAACGGCGCAAAAGGTTCTCCCACTCACTAAACCCCTATACCTTCCATGCCATCTTTATGGTGAATATATAATTTAGCCTATAGAATTTTGAAAATAGTTTACCAATGCAGTACTTCTATCTAAGATATTTTTAGCAAATTTACCAATAGGGAAGTAGCTATTACCGTAGGTGGCATGGTAAGACCTAGGCCCGGGACTGACGGGGTTTTTGATCAAACTTGGTAAATTTATTTTATACTTAGTTAATAATATTTTACTAAAAACACATTTTTACCCTCCCTGTAGCAGCAAGCCTAGGTACCGGTACTTAAAATGATAAAACCTAATATTAATTGAATACATTTATTTGAAAATTATTTCAGGAAAATGTTTGCTGCGGCGGTGGTATTTTTATCCTTCTCTTGTTACAGTTTTAAAAATTTATAAAACTCTTTTTCCAGAAAAACATTCCTCGTACATTGGGTAAAGATATAATTGAACAAGAATATCATTTTATGAACATTAATGTTGTTATAAATAATCAACTATAACATTAAATGTTGTAACAATTGGCGAATATATTTGCCTACAGTCTGCAAAGCCAAAATACAATTATAGCAATCAAGAAAAGTACAAATAAATGTGTACCAAATAAATTACTGAATTTCAAAAATAGGGTAGTTACTGTAAAAATTGTATTTAGCACACTTCAATAATTTTGCTCAATTATAATATTGGCAAAATTAAAATACAATATTTTTAAGGAATGAGATGATAATGCTCCGCAACTCAGTATGATATACCTACCCAATGTGAGTACTGGGTAGTCATCAGTCAAATGAAATATTGAAAATTATAATTACCTGTAGTCCTAGTCCAGGTAGGTCTGGATGGGCTCTACGCTGTAGCATTTGACAATCAAGGAAGTACTCATTGACCGCTTCGGGTTGATTTAGTATTCTTGCGTCTTGGTTGGTGGGGAGAGCAGAAACACCTGGGACTGAAGCTGCAACTCCTTCACAATCATTGTCGGGGAGCTAAATTTGTAAGCAAATCACTTCATTATATAATAACCATCTGGAAAATCTAAGGGTTGATAATTATTTAGGGTTTTAAGGGTTTTAAGATGCCCACTACTTAAGAATTATGTTACCGGTATTGTAAAAGTAATAATTACACTATGTACACGTAACTATAGCGGCTAAATCATAATTGTCAATAATACAATAGGCCTATAATATTTTAAAGCTGATAAGGTACGTACCTTGTTTTTCAAATTAAATTACTAAACTCTGGCAAATTTGTATGCCTTGATATAGTATTCAATACCCAATGTTTAATTAAATTATCATCCTAGCCTACATGTTTATTATTAAGAGATTCTCCCCCATCTATAAGTTTATGTGCATATACTGAACCTGGTGGCCTTGCCTGAACCTACCTTTCTTTGTAACAAAGTTTTTCTTTTAATTGAAAAAGCACTCTTCATCCATCCAATAAGAAAACTAGTAGTAAAAAAAGTTTTTCGTTGATTTTACATATCTAAAATAACAAATAGTGGTAAGGTATAAGACCCCAGTCGCAGGTGACCTGCAGCCTAAGTAAAATTCAAGTTGCTAATTGAGTTTTATGTAAAAATAATTTAAAAAATAGCCTACATATTTATAAATAAATAACACAAGGCTACCAATTTTAGGTAGGTTCATACATATTCGCCTAATTCAATTGTTTATAAAATAAAATATTAAATAATTAATTAATTTGATTTTATTTAAATTTGAGTTAGTTTAACTAATGACCTAAAATAGAATTAGGAATGGATGCTACTCAAGACTCAGAAACAAAACTTTTGAGCAGGCCTATTTTTGAAACTCAGTTTCAGAGTTCAGTACATTATTCACTTCCTACTCTAATAGCTTTTGTTTAAAAACTTGTTTCCACCTTGGAAAAGTTAAAAATTGTTGGCACAGCATTTTTTTTCAATTTTCTTCCTAGATACAGGTAGCAATCCACTTCAAAATGGTAGCTGCACAGACGGCTGTGAGTAGTAGGATACCAATCTTCATCCCTCCCGATTGCTTCCAGCCATTTCCTTAACAGATCTGGCTCGTTTAATGGGAATCTGAAAAGAAAGATTTTGTTTAAACCAAAATTTAACCAAAACCAAATATTTATATTAAATTCAATGACAAACCTTTATGGATAGTTATTAAATGGGAAATTCACTAAAAGGACTTGACTAAGGCTACAAAAGGACTCGCTAAGTAGTCAGTCTGACTGTTCCCGTCCCAAAGCCATAAGTTAGGCATTAGGGTGGGCTGAAAAAAAAAATTATTTTTTTTTCTTAATGCTATACCGAAAAAAACTTGTCTCTATGATGGGTTATCAAAATGCAACAAAGAAAAAAAATCTATACCTAACCTCCAGCTAGCGCATTACACTTGAAATTTCAAAATTTCACTCAAATCATAGGATTTTTAAAATTTTTTAAAAGTATCTAAACCTTTATATATTAGTTTGCTATAGTGAAAATAATATATTTTAGAGTTACAAATAGTCAATAAACTATAGGAAGTTTTGTAATTTTTAAATTTGAGGTGGCGCAAAGGCCTTCAATATAGTAAATTTGTGACGTTTTTAATGCTAACCAACTGCAGTGCAGTACATTCTCTAACTTTTTTGTACCCACTACTATTGTGTTTTTAGATCTATAATGTTGGTACTTAAATTAAGAAAACCTCTTGGAAAATTAAATAAAGATATAAGCAATTTACATACATATATCAAAATGGATTTAATGAATACAAAATAGATTGTTAAATACAAATTTCGATTCCCAAGCTGCAAAATTGTAGTCTATTTGACTCTCACTGAATAGTTATTTACATATTTGGAACCTTGAAATCATGTTTGCTTGTAAAACTTGGCATTGAAGCTCGTGAAAGCAGTGTTGTTCGGATGAAACCATCTCTGTTCTTGACGCCAACAACTTTTGAGGAGGCTTCAGTTACCAATTTCACACAGCGCTCAACTGCTTGTGTGTGACACGGGAATTTATGAAAGTTCCATTCTTCTGCTGTACTGGCAGTTGAAATCTTGGCCCACATTTCTTCTTCGGTTACTCTTCGTAACAGAGGTGGTGGATAAATAGCTGTAGTAGTCCAATCAATAATTTCGTAATATTCTTTTGCCTGGAAGTTGAGTTTTGGAGGTTTAAAAGTTCGGACTAGCTTTTCTTTGGAAGCCACGGCCCTTGATTTAATAACTCTTCTAAACCCCAACTCTCTGATATGAGCCCTTTCATCAACGATCATACTCAGTAGCAAGTTTTCTGGATGTGCGAAAAAAGCATTTCTTTCGATCACAGGATCAACCACCTTAATCAAGTTTTCTGGCAGGAATCTTGATGATGTTATTAAATCGAAAACATGTTTTGGTCCATCAGTAAGGTATTTACTTTTTTTAATCTTAAACCATACAGGCATGTATGATTTAAGTATAAATTGTACCAAAGTTTGGTGTTCTTCAGATGGATTCTCAACACTTAAATAGAGACGCAGTACTCTGTTTGCTGTTGTCAGCCATCGAGAATGAGAAATAGGACCTGGTTCACGAACTGCCAAGTCTGCCAAGCAGGTGCCTGATTTTATAGCCGAACTTATGTCCAGAAGATACTGTTGGTCTTTACTTAAGATTTTCCTATCAATTTCTGGTATGTCACAATCAATGCTTTGAAACTGCACAACTGGAAGTTTTTCACAATTTTTGAGTTTCGAGCCAATATAACCACTAAAAGATGTAGGACCAGTCGTTTCACCATCCAAAGTTTGAAACAAGTGCCTAAATGGTAATTCATTTAGGTGCAAAAGGCAAACTCCCCACTGCAGTGGTCTTTTAATTTTCTCTTCGATTTTGCGAATTACACCAGTTTTCCAGCCGGTGTTTGTGACAGTACCATCACATCCAATCACATCAAGCTCATCCAGCGAAAAATTTTGCTCATGTAAATAGTCCAAGACAGCACTGGCAATGTCCTTTGAAGTTCCAGTAGTTGGTGATACATGGCCAACATAAATTGAGCCAGGTTCCTGAATGATAGAGTAGTGTTCCTCTTTTACAGTTCTTCTAAAACACTTTTGATTCAGTTTGTCAATCTTCAATGTGTTATCCTTTCGGCCATCAAAATATAGCCCTTGAATTACGTCCGGCTCATTTTTTATTCTATCTTGGAGATTCGATCTGAATGATTGTTTTTCCCTTCTAACCTTGTTCTTATCTATTATGAGGGAATCGTCCTCTTTAGTTGCAAGACCTAGGTCATGAAGTACACTAGAGGCAATAGCAGCTGTTGCTCTGTCCGAAACCCCAAATCGGTCACTTGCCAATACGGTATTTTTTAATTGTATACGCATTTGCCACTGCTGTTTAGTAGAACTCGGAATAGGAATGTAGTCGTCATCAGAATCATCAGACTTTTCTTTTTCCATTAAGATTTTGTCTGGATCTATGTTTGACTCCGTCACATTCTTAGAGCATGTAGGCTGGGAATATGAAACTGGTGGAATGTTAGACGACACAACCCGATTTTTTATTTCCTTACGTTGCAGTCTTTTGATTATTTTTTTCGACTCCTTCTTGTCTACATTTCCAATTTTTCCTTGTCCAAGATATCTTTGGAAATACATAAACTTAAGTTCAAGCACGGGAATCTTTTTGTCTTTTTCACATTTACATGAAATTGACAAAGGGCACTCACAGATCTCAGGGACTTTTTTGCAGTTGCATGAGTATGTTATTTTACATTTACATGCAGATACATCAAATAGTGATAAAGCCTTTTGCCTGAACTCCTCAACTTTTTGTTTGTACTTCTCTTTTTCCTTGTCACGCTTAAAGGACTTCATTAGATTACGGTAGCTATCATGGTATGAGTTTATTAACTGAACGATTCTGTAAGGCGTCACTGTTGGTATTGATGCTTTGTCAAAGACTGCTTTTACTTTTGGAGCAACAATATTTGATATCTGAGAGAAACTAACAGGCTTGTTACTTTCTAATGCTAGTACATACTGTTCATGGAAACAGCTCCTAATAACATCCTGGTAATTTGGAAGCTTACTCACAGGCAATTCCCTTGGACAGCCAAACAAAGGACAATCAAAGTCACTCCGAGTCACTTTCTTGGCAACGGCCATCACGCACAATAAACTTAACTCAAAAAATTATAAACATAATTTACAAGATCAACTCAAACGTCAGTCCAAAATCGTACACAGATGTAAACTGCCGAGTGACAGGCCGTCTCAACGTCTCCCCGCGAAGTGCATTGTGGGTGTGTGGAGAGTATGGGTGGGGGAGCCCGGCAAGGCCGCCGGGTCATCGCCCGAACTCGCAGCTGTCATCCCGCACTTGACTCAAAAATGCGTCATTGTAATGACTATTGCGCTACCTCAGATTAATACAATTAAACTTCTGCAATTACTTATTGTATTTCCAAGGCTCTGTTCTAACGTAATATCACTATAGCAGTCCAATATGCAGGTATTTAGATGCTTTAATTATATTTACAAAAGCTTATAATTTGAGTGAAATTTTGAAATTTCAAGTGTAATGCGCTAGCTAGAGGATAGGTATAGATTTTTTTTCTTTGTTGCATTTTGATAACCCATCATAGAGACAAGTTTTTTTCGGTATAGCATTAAGAAAAAAAAATAATTTTTTTTTTCAGCCCACCCTATTAGGCATATTAAAACCAAACAAACAATCTTGTAGTCTTTCTAATTGCCGACTGTTCTTCAGACAGGACTGTTAATTAAAAGCCCAACAGTCAATTGTTAAGGGACCTACAGATCAATGTGGGATCTGAACCACAATTTCCTCTATTGTTTATAAATTTGTTTAGTTATGAGAATTGACTGGGACGGGTGGCGTCGTCCTGTAATCCAGCTACTAGGAGGTCACGAATTGTGGATAATTATAGGGATGCACTGTGGATGCGATGCTACCTGGTGTGGATTAACGTCCGCACTAGTGAGTACTACGACTATCCGCAGTACTATCCTAATAATTAGACCAATTCGTTAATTACGAGGAAAAAATGTGGTTCGGATTCCACAATAAACTGTAGGTCCCTTAGTTGCCATTAGCTGTATGGGCTATTAATTAACAGCTGTGTCTAAGGAACATGTCGGCCTTAGTCACTAACAAGACTACAAGATCGCGCCACTCATCCTACACTCATCCTTCACTCATATTTGGGTTAAAATACGCACATAGTGGCGTCCCCATCTTAAATAATTGATAATTGATTGATAATTGAATGGGCCCTGCGGACAAAGGTGTCTAGCTTATCCACTAGTGCTAGGGCATACCGCATTATTTTTTTTTTTTTTTTTTTTTTTTCATAGGACGCTAGGCACGAGCCTGGGATTGTTTTTCACATTACTTCAGGCTAGACCTAGGGGTTGTGGCATTATCACTTAGATAAAATCCATCGGTACCTTGGCGGGGATCGAACCCGGGACCTCAGGGACTGAAGTCCCGCGCTCTAACCACTACGCCAGCTCGCTCCCCAAATACCGCATCATTTTAAGTAAATTTAAGTTTAAGGATACATTATAAACTAAGTTATTAAAGGAAGTTTAAACACCATTTGATATGATTTTGAAATATAGCCTAGGCCTATATCATGTGGGTAAGTTTACCAAGACCCTAGTTAAGTTACACAAATAACAGGTAATCACAAGCTGAACAACTCTGTATATCCAACAAGAGTTTTCATGGGCTGCACTTTAGTTTACGTCCTACATTTACTCACATACTGCATGTTTGGTTAAGGTTAGGTTTTAGTTTAGTACAGTTTCATTTTATATTCAGCTGGTAGTTAATGTATAATGTATAATAGTAAATGTAGGACGTAAACTAAAGTGCAACCTTTTCATGATTTGATTTTATGCATGGTAACTTAATTAACAAAAAGAAAACTAAGTTAACGGATACACTTCCATATCTGTTGGCACAAACAACCGAATGAGTAATATTGATCATTCAATTGTTTAATTTGATGTATCGTTTGGTCAGTTAGGTTAGGTTAACCTTAACAAACTAACCAAACGATATATTGAATAATCGATATATGTATCGATCAATATTTTCATTCGGTTGTTTGTGCCAACAGATATTGAAGTGTACCCAAGTTAAATTATGTAGGCTACAATGTTTTATTTACTTAAACAACAGAATACCCCAAGTTTACTATTTCCGTCAAGGTTAAAATAGACGTTGGTTTAAACCTGGCAATAACCCAGCAATAAGTTGTGCGCGTGCCAGATAAAATCTATTGCTGGCCGTTTTGTGGAAAAATGCGGCCACGTAAGTTACCATATTAACCGATCATGTCACCAGATAGGCTAGAGGATACTTTAACGGACACGACAGTATCAATATCATGTACCTGGGGAGTAAGTTAGTGAAGAAAAGGAGGGGTAAATTCAGCAATAAGTAGTGCACGCCCCTTATAAAATCTATTGCTATGATTAACTTAGGAATATTTTTATGTTAAATTGGTTACTTAGGAATGGAAAGAATAGTCCCTCCCGTGTGCTCCACCGGGCCTAGGCCTACTTAGATCTGACTTACGTTTAAGATAAATTGTGACACTCGTCAAATTTTATCAATAGGCTATTCAGTAAGATAGCTTGGCTGCACTTTAGTAACTTAACTACGCGTACGGTAACCGGATGTGGATTAGACGCCTGGCAGAGACGTCACCGGGTTGTGGGGACCCAGAACGCCATTACCACGATACAATGCACAGCCATCGGTGTTCGTGGTGTAGTAGATCGAGTGCTCGGCTGATATGCAATAGGTCCCTGGTTCGAATCCCATCTGTAACTTTAACTTTTTGTCAAAGATTTTGCTTTGCCATTCCTTCTTAACTGTACATCTTTTGGCTGCACTTTACTTGACGTCCTACACTCATTCGAATAAAAATATTGATCGATATATCGATTGCTTCATTCGATAGGCCTATATCGTTTGGTTAGTTAGGTAAGGTTAACCTAACCTAACTAACCAAACGATATATCGAATGAAACAATCGAATGAAAATATTGAATCGAAAAAAAAAAAACAATCGAATGAGTGTAGGACGTCAAGTAAAGTGCAGCCCATCTTTTGTTAGAATTTTTGGCATTTATAATTTTAATTTATAAACAGAATTTAACCTTCATTCGCTTTTTTCATTATCAGTAAGTTTTGTTGGTTAGGTTAGGTAACCTTAGGTAATGACAGTAACAACTGCCGGACGCCTATTCCACGTCCGGTTACGAGCGTATCCTCTGCGTTTACTTAAAGCTATACCTACCTGTGAAACTTAATTTTGTTTTCTTGAGAAGCTTTTCGATTGCATCCGTTTGCCACACAGTATTGAACCATCGCTGACCGCTGTTGTATTTAATCTTGTTAAAAATGGGTTGCTCTTGCTCAAGATGACAACCGACAACCATTCGTCCATTCAAAACAATAGGAGGTTGCCATCTCTTATCTTGTTTTCCTCTCTGCAGTCCCACCAATCGATCACACGGCCAACCTGGCAACACGAAAATCTGAAAAAACATTAAATACGGTTTAGCGAATTTCCCCATAGGGAAGTAGTTATTACCATAGGTAAAGTATGTTTTATCTATGGTAAAACATACTCCTCAAGTATCCTTGAGGAGTGCTACCACGAATACTAGATGGTAATCGTGAGTGCTACCAGGCCGCCTTTAACTACAGGCCGAGGCCTGGTAGAATTGGCAACGTCGCAAGTGGTGTTGTTCAGTGATAGACGTCCCATAAGATAACATGGCAGACAGGTGACATCAGCTCATTAATTCGCACTTTATTGATTTAAATTTATGAACATAAATTTATTAAAATATTGAAAATAAAACATACAGAATTAAAAACCGAAACAATATGAACTAAAATCTATATCTGTACAATTTTAAGCGGAGTCAATGTTGCCATAGTCCAGTAACCAATCTTTCGTAAATATGAAAATATCATTAGCTACTTCCAAACAAAAACAGCTGTTACAACACCACTTGCGACGTTGCCAGTTCGAAGGCCGCGGCCTGTGCTACTACCGTATGCTATTACCGTAGCCGTAGGTGGCAGGGTAAGACCTAAGCCAAGGACCGATTTAATTTTTCATTTTGATGTCCCAAGAGGCCTGATCTCCAAACAATATGAGGATCAAAATGTTTAATCTTTTGCCAAACAAACTCAAAGAAATCAGTTAAAATAAAACTTAAACGATGTCTACAAGGCACGGCCCTGTCACCTTTAACTCCAGACCGCGGCCTTTGAAGTGGCAACATCGCAAGTAGGGTTGAAACAGCTGTCTTGTTTGGATGGAACTGGACAATGGTAATTTGTGTATTTTTTAAGAATACAAAAGCTAAAATCTTGTTTACTGGGCTATTTGATTTTAAATTTAAATTTTTTGAATGAATTATGGATTTGTCTGTTTGTCCATTATGGACTCCGAAACCACTTGACAGATTGTAATGAAACTTTCAGGCATTATTAAGCATTATTCAAGGATGGTTTGTGTGAATGCAGATCCGTCAAAAGGGCTCCCCCTAGTGGCTTTGGAGTTTGCCACGTTAACCTTATGGGTACTCATATTTAAAGGGAATTAAAGAGTCTTAACAGCTGGTTCAACTAACAATTTGATTCTGTGATGTTTAATTGCATTAAAAAGTTAATATGTTTACCAAACAGGGTGCAGCACTATTATTTTTTTTTCAATTTATGACAACAGCTAATTTGCAACCCAAAGGTGGGTGAGCGTAGCGAACGAACTTCAACCTGGAGGTGAGTAAGCGTAGCGAACGAGCTAATCTGACGGCAAGTGAGCACAGCGAACGAGCTCCAACCTAAAGATGAGTAAGCGTAGCAAACGAACTTCAACCAGGACGTGATTGAGCCATGCGAACGAGCTCATCTTGAAAATGAACTAGCATTGACATAAAACCACATTAGGACAGGACGACGTCTGTCGAGTTTTGATTTCATACTAATTAATCACATAAAACCCCTCCCTGATGCAGCAAACCTAAGTACTTGTTTAACTAATTCTATTTAAATAGGGAATAAATGTTATATTTTTAAGTAGACATTTTAGTGTTAGTCCAATCAGGCAAATGGAAATTCGCTTAGTATGCAGGTTTGCTGCGGCGGGGGTATTCTTGTCTTGTCTTTTCCCGTATCCTCTTCTCCTCTCTTCCTCTTGTCGCTGTCGCTGTCATTAGTGTCATTGCTCGCTCATCATTCATTCAGTCATTCAGTGTCATCGATCGACCATCGACTCATCATCATTCGCTAAATAGAAATAACCTTATTGATAGTGATGTGACGAGTCGGGTACTTTCCTGACTCGAGTGACTCGACTCGCCAACTGCCGTGAACTCGAGTTACGAGTCGAGTCAGACTCAACTCGAGACGTTCCGAGTTCGTGTGAGTTCGGCATTCTCCGTACGAGTTCGTTAGTTTTGCGAGTCGGCCGACTCGGTACCGGCCAATAGCGTGTCAGCTTTACGAGTCGACTCGACTCGACTCGAGACGTTCCGAGTTCGTGTGAGTTCGGCATTCTCCGTACGAGTTCGTTAGTTTTGCGAGTCGGCCGACTCGGTACTAGTCTGGTTGCCGGTCAAAAAACCTGGAAGTAAGGTCCACCCGAAGTTTTATGGTGTTTTCTGTTTCTTCAAGACCTACATAACTAAAATCTGCAAGGTGCCAATTTGTCACCTTTGAGCAAATTGAAATATTCAAGATGGCGGCCAAGATGGCTTAAAAACTGTATATTTGCTGTATCTTTTCCTATAGAAGAGACAGGATAATAATTTTTGTGTCTAATTTTATGTTTTAAGGGTCAGAGAATACCAATAATTGATTATCTTAGTAATAAAATACCCCCGCCACAGCAAACCTGCCGACTAAGCGAATTTCCAGTTGCCTGAATTGATTTTCAATTAAATGTATTTAATTAACATTAATTTTTATGAGTACTTAGGCTTGCTGCTACAGGGAGGGTAAAAAAGTGTTTTTTTTTAATATTAATAACTTAGTATAAAATAAATAAATTTACCAATTTTGATCAAAATATATCCTAAAATAAAAAATATATATAAAATATAATCAAAAATAACATGTGAATTTTAAAATAACAATTATTTGTATTTTCTCCGTAACTAATAATGGTACAAAAACACTTTGATATACTAAATTATTTGTTCTTTTAAGCTCTTTAAGAAGGTTTGAAGAGAAATTGGAAAATTTTGCGTTTAGAGGGTCAAAAATTAGAAAAACAAATTTTTACCCCATAAAACCCCACGTAAAACCCCGTTCCCATGGTCCGATCATGCTGGTTCGGTTTACTAATCCTGTATATCTGCTGTATCTTTCCCTATAGAAGAGACAGGATAATCATTTTGTGCCTAGTTTGATGTTTTAATTAGAAAATTACCCAAAATAATAAATCAATATAAGTTTTTAATAAATTTCCACATTAATTTGTTGCCAAGTTACCTTATCAACAATGTTTTCAAGTATTTACTTGACTTAAAACATTATATCTATGGTTTCTGAGGATAAGTGAAAGTGCTACATTCAAACAGAACACAGTCATCAAATCAGTTAACTTACAAGCAGTTCTCCTAATTGATGCTTGTGCTGTACTGGGGACAGTGCATTATCCTTCTTCAGGAACAGTGAATGACTTTATCGACTGCTTTTTAAATTATAGTTTTCTTGAATTAAGAAAAAAACACTGTTCTTTAGGCTAGTCAAAATACGGTCCAACATCAAACTTAAGGTAAAAGAAATAAAATATATTTCTTCCCCATATATTCCAAAATATATGGGATTTTGTCAAAAAAGGTGTCAAGAATATTATACTAAAAATCAAGAAAATCCAAGTGGTGGAAAGCCGCCATTTTTGAAAAAACTTCCGCCATATTGGATTTATGTAAGCTTTTAGTAAAACATCAATTATTTGACAACTAATCGTCTTAACGATTTGCGGTTTGTCTTAATAGATTCCTCTTCAAGTTTACTTTAAGATAATAATAACCTTATACCATTTCATTATTGATTTATTTAAAATAGACAGCTTTAAATTGAAACAATAGCAAATTTCGAAGATTTTTTTTGTAAAACCTTTAAATGTTTGCAAATACAAACTCAGGTGATAAGAACATTCATATTTTGTGGCTCTTAAAAGAATCTGAATACAATTTTCAACAATTATCAACCTCATATCAGTTTGTATATTGCTTTGAAGATATATTATGGGATATATTGTTATTAGTCTTCAACTTGGAACGCTAGTCGTGACGCGGGCCGCACCACTACATCTAGTTCGATTAAAATACACTTTGAGGTGGGAAAAATTGCTTTGAGAACATTTAAAACATATTTTGGAATCATACATTCATACATATAGGGCAATGTGCTTTGAGAACATTTAAAACATATTTTGGAATCATACATTCATACATATAGGGCAATGTATAAAAAGATCTGACAAAATCCTAGCATGAGAACACTGAACACTGTTTTTCATAATATGTTGGTGCAGACAAGCCTTGTATGGATTTGCACCTATTGTATAATATGCATGTATTCATTATAGTTCAATAAATTGATTGATTGATTGATTGAAAAAGTTGGGGTTTTGAAACATACCAAAATTCAATTTTTCATAATAGACAATTACATATATGTGTCCGTGAACACGATAACTTGAGTAATTTTTATACAATTTTGATGAAATTTGGTTTGAAGGTAACCAAGGATAAGGGTAACCAAGGGTAACCAAGGATTGAAGGTAAGGCAGGATAAACTTGAATGAGTTCGAGAAACAGCATGATCGGACCATGGGAACGGGGTTTTACGCGGGGTTTTATGGAGTAAAAATTGTTTTTTTATAATTTTTGACCCTCTAAACGCAAAATTTTCCAATTTCTCTTCAAACCTTCTTAAAGAGCTTAAAAAAGCAAATAATTTAGTATATCAAAGTGTTTTTGTACCATTATTAGATACGGAGAAAATTTAAATAATTGTTATTTTAAAATTCCTATGTTATTCTTATGGGGAATATTGTAAAATGTTGTAGTCTGCTTGTTTATGGATATATTTTGATCAAACTTGGTAAATTTATTTATTTTATACTAAGTTATTAATATTTAAAAAAAACACTTTTTTACCCTCCCTGTAGCAGCAAGCCTAAGTACTCATAAAAATTAATGTTAATTAAATACATTTAATTGAAAATCAATTCAGGCAACTGGAAATTCGCTTAGTCGGCAGGTTTGCTGTGGCGGGGGTCTTTTTATTACTAAGATAATCAATCAATTATTGGTATTCTCTGACCCTTAAAACATAAAATTAGACACAAAAATTATTATCCTGTCTCTTCTATAGGAAAAGATACAGCAAATATACAGTTTTTAAGCCATCTTGGCCGCCATCTTGAATATTTCAATTTGCTCAAGGGTGACAAAGTGGCACCTTGCAGATTTTAGTTATGTAGGTCTTGAAGAAACAGAAAACACCATAAAACTTCGGGTGGACCTTACTTTCAGGTTTGGGTGAAAAATGCCTTTTGGCAACTAGACCGGCCAATAGCGTGTCAGCTTTACGAGTCGACTCGACTCGACTCGAGACGTTCCGAGTTCGTGTGAGTTCGGCATTCTCCGTACGAGTTCGTTAGTTTTGCGAGTCGGCCGACTCGGTACCGGCCAATAGCGTTGAATCTATGCGAGTTGACTCGTAAAGCTGTGACGCTATTGGCCGAAAGCGAGTGCGAGTAAACTCGAGTCAACTCGTTACGTCCCGAGTTCGTTAAGCTCCCCGCTTTCTCCGTATGAGTTCGGTTTCTTGACTCGGCTTTTGCGAGTCGGACTCGTAACGTTACGAGTTCGTGTAGCTTCGGCAATCTCCGTACGAGTTCGTAAAAGAACTCGAGTTGGAATTGAGTTGACTCGAGTTGACTCGACTCGGGTCTTGACTCGAGTCAACTCGACTCGCCAACTCAACTCGTCACATCACTACTTATTGAATAAATAACAAAACCGTCGACTGGCGTCGTGGCGAGTGCCGAGTAGCGAAGCGACTCGACTACCTTCACAACTAACAGTAAGTTTGTTTTAAATTTACTAAATCCAATTCCAATGGGATTTAACCACAGACATTATAATACTGTAATAGGCCTACTGTTTTATATGGTCTATGATTCAACAAATTAGTACATAAGTTAAGTTTGTTTCAATCTTTCCTAAGTTAGGTTGTTCTTTCTGAAAGGCAAAGGCATTCACACTCGATTCCTGGATTGACAGTGACAGTGGTAAATCGTTCTGTTCCTAGTGATGGCAAAATTTCTCAAAACATCGATGTTTCGATACATCGATGTATCGATCAAAAGAAATCGATGGCATAAAAATATCGAGTCCTAAACATCGATGTTTTTAATACATCGATGTTTTAACATCGACGAGAAAAATAATGTAAAAGAAGGAGGGAAATGCTAGTGGCGCAAGTAAACAACATTCTAACAACAAAAGAACACAATAAAACAATTATTTATTGTTTTTTTTAGATTATTTAACATTGATATTTAAAAATTTGGATTTTGTAAAAATTTTAAAACCCCACAGAAAAGTATAAGAATGTTAAATAAAAATAAATCCATATTAAGTGATATGTTTTATTGGTCTAACAAACGTTTTAACTGAAAATAAATTGTTAAATTAACATAAAATAAAGGAACCTCATATTACATAATATTATATAACGTTGGTGTAAAATTGCAAAATAAGCACAAAATAAGTCAAATAAATCGGTAACTGTTCTGTAGCAACACTGAGCTATAATTCTAACTGGAGGTAGCACTGAATGTCAAAGATGCGTGTCGCCAGCCGCCATGTTTGCGTGAGGTGGGTGTCCATAAGAAGCCATATTATTGCTATAACTATTATTATACTTGGCTTAAAATACCTACTTTGTATGTTCGCCATTTCAAAGAAAATTATTAAAGTATTAAAAGTATTCAAGTATGACAAAAATACTCACTGCTATACCAACCTAGTTATAAGAAGCCATGTTATTGCTATGGTAATAAAACTTACTGCTATACCAACCTAACAAAATCAGCGACTCGCTTTTGACAGACTTCTGCCATGGCAGTGCTACCTCCAGTGGGTCTGACTTAGGGGAGGTACAAATGAGGCATTTAGTTCAAAATTCCTCCGTGAACAGCGCTGTAGTAGAGAGCACTTTGGCAATAAAGGTTTACTAATCGCAAAAATAGTTCTGTTCATAAAATAAAATTATAAATGCCTCAAATTCAATTTTAATATTTTTAATTATAAAATTAAACTATCATAACCTAACCGAACTAACCAAACTTGCTGATAAAGATATAATATAACAAAAGTTTAGTAATCGGAAAAATAATTCTGTTAATTAAATAAAACTAGAAATTGCTCAATTAAAATTGTATAATGACTTAATAATAAAATTAAACTGTAATAACCAAACCAAACTTGCTGATAATAAAAAAATCTTGGACAAAAAGTTACTGCTACCAGCGGGATTCGAACCCGGGACCTACAATATACCAGCCCGGCACGCTAACCATCAGACCACCGAGGCCGATGGCTATCGAACGTTTTGTTACGGTAATGGCGTTCCCTCAGCTAATAAGAAGCCCTCAGCTGTCATCGTAGCCTCTTCTATACCTCCCCTGAGTAAATACCTACCTCCAGTTATAATTTTAGCTCAGTGTGTAGCAAGCAGGCCAGCAGCGCCAGCGAGTAATTTGTAGCGAGCTGTCGTCTGCCGTGTCCGTGTCCATCTCGTTGGCCTGTGTTCAGACTATTTATACTGTATCTAGTCAGTTAAATTATACTTTTAATGTAAAATTTCGTTCAAAATAAAAATATTATAGCTCGAGCAATGCTTTTCTGGTTCAGGTTTGACAAAAAACTACATAAATAACCGCTGATAACCTATTAAGAGCAATAATCGATGTTTTTGGGTAAAAACATCGATGCTCGATATATATCGTACTGCAAAAATCGATGTTAAAACATCGATGTTTGAAACGATAAACATCGATGTTTCGAAAACATCGATATTCATTTGCCATCACTAACTGTTCCCGCCTCACCTCACGCTTCTACACAATCGTCTTCCGAAGACCAGGATTTACCTAGGCTACCTGTAAATAAGTTAAGGTTTGTTTCATACTAGAGTAGGTCTAGGTGGGTACACTTTCTTAACTGGTCTACGCTAATATTGATTAAAATAAAAACTTATCGATTCGATTAGTAAACCTTCATTTGATTTTAAGTTCCTATCAGCAAGTTTGGTTAACTTAGTTATGTTATGTTAAGACATTTTCATATTAGGCTATAAGTAGGCCTATTAAAAAATTTAAAATATTGATTAGGCTATTAATAGATATTTTTAACTTGGTAGGTTTAACTGATATTTTCAATTTGATAGTTTCAATTGATATTAGCATAGCCCAGTTAAGAAACAGTAGGCCTACCTAACCAAGTGGGCCTATTATTCTTATTGCCATGATACAAAACATAACCTTTTTTAAGGGATTTCCATTGGGCGACGTGGACCCCAGACTTAACGGAGGGAATATGGAATACCCCTCGAGCAGATAAAAGGAGGGTCTGGGGGTTCTCCCCAGCTGCACTTAACTTTGCGTCCTACACTCGAATTCAAATGAAAATATTGATCGAAATATTGATTATTCGACATCGATTGATCTATATAGAATAATCTTATCCTAATTAAGTTACGATTATTTATAATTAAATTATATCAGCCGTAATTATGATCAGTTGAGTTATCTCTATCCTTATCTTAAATTTGTAAATAAACAAAATAAAAAATTAACGATTTAGACCTAATAAGGATAAAAAAATAAAACCAAACAAAAACCTAACTACAAATTATAGCCTCATTCTAGATAGGCTACCTAATATTCAACAAAGGTGATTTTCAATGCATTTATACAGTGCCGGATTTAGGGTACTTGCGGCCCTAGGCCAAATTACTTGAGCGGCCCCCCCCCCCCTGTGGTGAAAATTCCTTGCGATCGCGGAAGTATAGTGACTATCTCCTATACATCAAGGGGACATCATCATCGACACCCGTGATCCTGGATGAAATCGTGGACATCTCTCCTAAACCAAGTCAAAGTCATCATAGTTATCCGGGACCGCAGTAAAATCGTGAACATCTCCCGCGAGCCGCAATCACGGGGACATCATAATTGAAACTTGCGATCGCGGCAAAGTCGTGTTAAAAAAACCTCTCCCGTCGACTGCGATCATGACGACTTCATCATTGTCACCCGCGGCCGTGCCGAAATCTTAAACATCCCGCTCGGGAAGCCATCACGGGAACGTCCTCATTGACACCCCGAGCCGCGGCGAAATCGTTAACAACTCCCGTGAACCACGATCACAGGGACATCATCATCAACACTCACAGCCGCGGTGAAATCATGAACATCTGCCGCGGGCCGCAATCATGGGAACATCATCATCGACACTTGCGATCGCGGCAAAGTCGTGTTAAAAACATCTCCCGTGGACTGTGATCATGAGGACTTCATCATTGTCACCCACGGCCGTGCCGGTATTTTTTTGGGGAAAATTATGGGCTTCAATTTAATGTACCGGTAGCCTATACATAAAACATTACATTACAAAAAAATTTTCAAAAATTTTTGTGGGGTTAACATTTCTCAACAATTATAAAATAAATGAAAAAATTTAAGTTTGCGCTCAATAAATTTTATTTGCGTTGTAAACATCCTCCTCGGTAAGCCACCATGGGGACATCCACATTGACACCACCAGCCGCGGCGAAATCGTTAACATGACGCCATTGTATTATTCTTAATGAAATTACAAAATAAAGAATGAAAAAAAAACATCTCCCATGGGCCGCAATCACGGGGATGCATCATCAACACTCACAGCCGCGGTGAATTCATGAACATCTGCCGCGGACCGCAATCACGCACGGGGACATTATCATCGACACTTGTGACCGCGGCGAAATCGTGAACATCTCCCGCACACGGGCCGCAATCACGGGGACATCATCATTGACAACTCGATACAGCATCTAATTCGTGAACGTCACCCGCGGCCGCGGCTAAATCATGAACGTCTCCCGCGGGCCGCAATCACGGGACGTCATCACAGGCACCCGAGGCCGCGGCAAAATCGTGAAAATCTCCCTCGGTCCGCGGAGACATCATTATGATCAGCTGTGATCGCGGCAAACTGGTGGTTTAAAATAAATTATTTGTTATTAATTTTATCTAAAAAATGTTTTTCCCAATCCTCTGCGGCCCCCTTTTGCTTGCGGCCCTAGGCCGCGGCCTAATCGGCCTAGTGGTAAATCCGGCACTGCATTTATAGATAGTGAGTGTGGATTAGATCTTTCTGACATATAAAATCTACCTGATTTTCAACTCGTATTATTACTTTCATCTTTGTTACAAACGTCACATTTAGGAGTATCATGTAGGTCTACTAATCCTTAATCTTGTATCCATTTGAAACAATTATCAGGATTGCATAAAATCCTCTGACTAAATCCTCGATAATTCATGGCGAAGTTTTTTAAAAATTACTTATACAAACAAAAACAATGAAATAAACAAAAATGTAAAAATTAAAACAAAAACAATGCAATAATCAATTAATTGATATATTGATCGATACTTCATTCGAATGAGCGTAGGACGTAAAGTAAACTGCAGCCTTCTCCCTCGAAAAACATTGCACATTTTAAATTAAAATGAAAATCACACATTTCTACTAGAACGTTGTAACAGGCCAAGGCTCACTTTATAACCCCTTGGGCCAAAATCATAGCTTAATTTCTGAAGTGTGCTACTACAAACGTTATAACAATTTTTGAACACAAACATGTTTAAAATATCTCTACGTAAAACCTAAAACTACAATAGGCTTATATTTTAAATTTCCACTTTTTATTTTTAGACAGGTAAAAATCATAACCATAATTATTGTTACAGATAATTAGAGACTTACTAGTGGCTTGTAGGGGCAATAGCCCCTATATTCTAGTAATTATTTTGTACAAATTTTTAGTCTCATGGGCTACCGTACCCTACCTTGAATTATCATTTAACATTTTTGTATATTATGATATGTATAATAGTTATTACATACCTGCATAGTGCATTTTGATGTCTGCTCTGTTTAAAATAAAAATTCCAAAGGACATGCGGTGTGTTTATAACATAAACTTTGAGCCAAAGGCGAGTATAAACTTTCTAATCATAATACAACTAAGGGATATTTTCCAATAACAATCTGTATGACTATTAATTAAATCTATATAGATTTCTTTAAATATAGACAAATTCACTTAGAAAAACACATAGAGATAATGTCATCATCAAAAATGCTAATTCTAAAACAAAATCTCTCTGAAACAAAATTTGTTGTATAGTGTCCATTTTGGTCGATTCCTTGGTCTTTATTTGGTTCTAGTACTATTTTAACATCATCTGGCCTCTTTACCTATTTTAAAGCAACATAAAGTTGCCCATGGGTAAACACTGGGTTTTTCAAATAAATGCTAACTTTTGTGAAGGTTCGGCCTTGCGCCACAATTTCACCAAATCAAATTGCGCAATACACCACAATGAATGCACCCATCATTCATTGGTCCTACGCTGTGTAATGCAATATCATTTAAAAGTGTTATCTATACACAGGAATAAATTTGTTTTCATCCGATGCTCATTTATTCTTCTTCCATTAATATCGTGCCAAATCTGGTGCCTGTTGTTCTCATTTCAAGGAACAATACCTCTGCGTGGTAGTCTTCCAACATTATACATTACTGTGCAAAAGAACAATCCGTTGTAAAATATTAAGTTTAAAAGTATCAAATTGTTGATTTGATCTAATTTTCACTTTGTGTTGTTTACTACTTCACTATCAATTTTACAATAACAAAATAATGCACATTCAGGTGTGGCTATATTTTTTTCAATTTATATAATCACAGCTGTGTTTACACAAAATAAAAAGACATAAAATTAGATTTCCATGCTATTTAAATGTAAATTATTTTATTCCGTAACAACCTTTTGGTGCATAATTTAAAAAAATGAATAATTTTCCCCAAAATTTCATGCCCAGACCTTTAAAATGAGACCTCTCCCAGCTTTCTACGGCCTCCCATTCGCTCACAATTTCATTGTAAAATTTTGGGCTTACGGAATTAGATATATAGATTTAGGCTATTTTGTACATGGCAATAACCATTTTACATTCGGGTTTAACATTATGAGAAGCTAAAATAAAAATATATTGAAAGTTAATAGAAAGATTAAGTAGATTGCAAAGAACACAATCAGGACAATTAAAAAGCTATACAATAACAACAACAAAGATTTACAAAAACTGATAAAGATTGTATAAATTAATAACAAGGATTAAATAAATATTTAAAAATCGATAACAGTGATAAATACTTTAGGGAAAAAGATAAACTTAAATTGACAGAACATAAGGACGATTGGGACTTCATCTCACTGATTGTGTATATATATATTTATACTATTTAAGTAAGTTATGAGTTAAAAATCTGTAATCAAGCTGTAGAATAGGCTATGATTTTTACCTGTCCTAAAGAAAAAGCAAAAATCGTTTAGGCTAATGTGTTTCCTCAATGTGCAATTTTTGCTCTAGATCACTTTTTAAATTCCGATACATTTAAAATGTGAAAAAAAAATAATAGCCTAGTAACTGGGCGACACTCCTGTTAACATGTTATTTTATGCCCTGTCATGAAATGATATAAGGCCTAACGTTTTTTGCTAAGGGTTGTTGCTAGCCTAGTGGTTAGCTTCTCGGACCTAGAGTGTTGGAGCGTAATTATCTTGAACAATCACTTTGAAAAGAACTGCTCTCAGAACCTAGCACCCTCTTCACTCGCTGGCTGCTAAAGCTGGGGAGAGGGCAGGTCAATCAAGTACTTGCGCTTATCACTGGAAACGGCCATTTCAGGAAACATCTCCACACTTGTAAATGGACTTTGCAACCAGTCTGATGAAACTGCAAAACACATGCTTGCCTATTAATATATACATTATTGTATGAATTTGTTATCATTAGTGTATTTGATAATATGTCACTAGCCTTCCTTATTTATAAATAACCCATAAATAGGCTCACTGTTCCGGAATAGGCCCAGTTAAATATATGAAGAACATGAATCTCAGTAATCCTGTAGTAGGCCTATAGGTCTATTAATTTTGTTGTATTCTTGGCTGTACTACCTAGTTGACATGCTACTTTAAAATGTAGGTTGATTTTTATAAAACGCAACCCAAATAATTACAACTACCGCGTGATGCTTTTCAACAACAAAACCAGATCATATGATTGTATCTTGGGTTTTTTTACTTCACTGACGATCAGCTAACATATTTCTATGAGGTTTAGTGTTATTGCAAATTTATTGTAATAAGACGTAACCGATGTAACATAATATGGTTTTTTCCTCATTCTCAAATTAGAGCTTGTAAAACGCCAAGTTAATACTTATTCACCATAAATTTCCTTTAAACACTAAACTCTTTGCAGCAATGCATATCAGCTTATTGGCAATAAAATAAAGAAGACATGGCGTAAGCTTGTTTTGTCGTTATACTGTGTCCTAAACGGTACTTGGAATTTGGGTTGCAATTAAAAAAAATCACCTTGTTCTTGTATATGAATACGTAATGCAAAGAAAGTAGCAAAGTGTACTGTCATACGCTCGTAGTATTTCTTTTAGTGTAAGTAAACTTTTCAATACCTAAAAAAATGTATTGCAATTTTACAGGGAAACCGAATCCTTAAAATGAACAAGGTGTATGTTGGAAATTTGGGGACCTTTGCTTCAAAACATGAATTGGAGTCCGCTTTTGCCAAGTATGGTCCTTTGAGTAGTGTATGGATTGCCAGAAATCCTCCTGGCTTTGCTTTTATCGAGTTTGAGGATCCAAGAGATGCGGAAGACGCTGTTCGTGGACTGGATGGAACGTAAGTATATATTACTTTATATTATTTAAAATTGTATTTACATTTTATTTTGCTCCTAAGCGTAAAACTGTTTAACCAATCAATTATATTATTAACACGTTCACTACTGAGTGTTACATATTTGCGACGCCACGATCATTGCCACGGACTGAGGTACAGTAGACTCCCTCTAGTTCGGCTTCGGATGGATCGGCCGCCGGATGGTCCGGCCCGGTCTCAGCTCAGAGGGACAAGTCATATTGTCACGGGCGAATGACCTTCGACATAATTCAACTTGAAGGTTTAGTTTCCAGCTATAGAAGTAAACAATTCATGTCAGTTTAGTTGACAAGTGCTTCTATGGGTGAATTGTTGTATATTAGGCCTACTTATGTAAAACTATGTTACATAACCTCAAAAATACCAAGAACAGTTTATAAATAGTTTTCTTCAGTCTTATATGTTGAAATGCAGTGTACTATTAAATAAATATTTCGGACCATTTTTTTATGCGGTAGGTTCCCCCTATATTGTTTTTGAAACACCACAGTTTATTTGACAAAAATAAATTAAGCGAAACAAAGAAATAGCCGTCGTTAGCTTCAAGGTCAAGCTATCCGCTTGCACTGACAATCATCTGCTCTTTACACAACATCTGTCTGCTTTGTGTTTGCTAACTCACAACAGTTTGTGATTGGGAGATTAGTAACCATGGCAACTTGTTGAATGTATGGATGAAGAGAAACCAAAAAATGAATAGAAGAACAAAGAAGAAATAATAAGCGGTGTTTTAAGTCATCCATTGTTATCCTTATCTTACGACTGTCGTTATTATCTTTAAGACTAAGTACTATGATTTTATGCTGTTTTATGAGTTATCTAATGTTTTTATTGACATTCTTATGTTCTGAAACAACATGTAGTAGTAGCCTATGCTGACTACGGTAGCAGTAGCTTGCAGTACTACTTGCAGAACAATAAAAGGTCTTATTGTTCTGTTCTTTACGTGATTAGTTAATTGCTGTACTTAGGCCTACATTGTTGTGTAATTGATTTTAAACGTTACAGTTTTTATTACTGAACCAAGGTTAATGACTTAGGATATTATGATTGCGCAATACTATTATTTGTATTTGGATTATGTAAAATGGAAATTAATTATTATATTAACGTCCATTTTATACAGTATTAGGTGTTTTATGGGTATATATTATATACTTATGCCATGTTGGATTAAACGTGATTTTCAGTTATCCGTGGTCTTCCCCCCCCCCCTGGATAATTGAGGTTCTACTACATCCGGTTAGTCCGGCCGTTTTGTAGTGCGGCCAGTGGTCCGGTCCCGAGGTGGCCGAACTAGAGGGAGTCTATTGTATACAATTTTATCTTTTACATAGACTGGCTGTCACTTGGTTAACTAATTAAAAATGAAACAGCTGGTCGATGCAATTAACAGATGCTTGTTTTTGCTTTAAAAGGTTTTTGATGGTTCTAAATTTATTTTGTTGAAATTTGTGTGTTATTTTGTAAGAGGGTTATGTTTGGTTACGGAAAGGTAAGTTAGTAAAAGTTTTGTAAAGTTTTGCTTGTAATTGTTTTCTCTTTTTTTGGTCCCAAGTTGGTTGGACCACTTTTTCATAAATTTTTGTATTTAGGCCTATTTAAAACATCACGACATATATAAAATAAAATTGACAGGTGAATAGTCAAACAATGTGAGTACTTATATCTAGATGTCTTAAACCAAAGAACAATTATTTACCAACAAATATTATTAAAGAAAAATAGTCCTGTGACACAGCTGTTTGCTCAATTTTTCAGCCGTTTGTGTGGAACCAGAGTTCGAGTGGAGATGTCAAACGGTCGCAAAAAGTCTGAGGGTGGATCTAGGCGACCCAGGTCAGTCATATATTAAATCTTGATATTTCTAACACTGTGTTAACCTACTTTAATTATGTTTAAAGGGTTAAAATGTTGACTATGAATAAAACTAGACAATCCATTCCAATTTGTAGCTAGTTTTTAAATAAAAGTTAAATTGAGCGAACCACAGAGTGGACCACACATTTAAATCAAGCCAAAACAAATATGTCAACTTGTAAATAGAGTAACTTTTATGTCATAATTAGATGTCAAAGTAACAAAATCTAATGGAGAGATCTATATATTAATACGCAAGCAGTTTTCTTTTGACAGTCATAACTTGATAGCTGCTTGGTAAATTTTAACGTTTGAGGTGTCAAATTAAAGGTATTTTCACGTATATGTGCAAATACGTCTAGAATATTAAGAAAGGCCATCACTGAAATACAGTCAAGGGCTAAAGTTTCGGGACGGTGGCGCTATCTGTTGGCATTAAATCAAACTTAATTCCCTTTGTAAACAACTAAATATATGGACTAGATTGAAATAGGTAGGTCTTAAGGTTAACCACAGACTGAAGGACTTAATTGTTTCTAGAGCAAAGCCGGAATTTATATTTTGATTTTAACATCTGTTAAATAAGTCTGGTTCATAAATAAAGAGTTACCTAGCAACACTTGACAACATATTGTTTGTAATAAGGAGTTGATTTACTAAATTATAATGTACAGTAGCTTTGGTTATAGTTCAGTGATGAAGTGAATGTTTAAAAGTGATTATTTACAGTGCGGTTACCCATACCATACATGCGTTACATTACCATATTATTAATTTAAAATTTAAAATTTTTTATAGCCTAATTTACAATGTGTATCATAATTCCTTTGTACTGTAGTGTTATTTTCTGTTGTTTGGTTAACACTTTACAGTGAGTGGTTGACATGTACGTGCGCATAAAGGGTCCCCGCCTACATGAGAGCGGATCTATTAAAAATTGTAGATTACTTTTATAATTTGTTTACAACATAATATTTGTCATATTTCTATAATCAGCCTTTGCTAACTTTAAAGTGACTCTTTGATTGAGGTCCTTGCTGTTTATGTTTTGTTCTTTATTATTTTACTATACGTTGCAGTTTTGCTCGAATTTGAGCAATAGGTTATCTAGTAGAATCTTAATATGTAGCACTCTCAGGGAGTGGCTTGTGCTTTTATAGTATAAATGGGCTACAGCAGGTCCATATAGACGTGAGGTTTACTTGAGTGTCAAAAATTCAATGGTTAACACAATTGTATTCTATTCCTCTCGCATATACATTTTCAATTTATTTACTCAGGGCCAGATGGCTGCTGTGATATATTTTAACTTTAGTGCTGCAAGTTGTACAATCCAGAGAACTAGTTACATGATTTATTTAAAACGAAACCAAACCTGACCATTGCAACAAGATTACCTATACTCTCATGTAAGACGACAAAACACTTTCTTAGCTGGTACGATGTTTGTATCAGCTACTTTAGCACTTGGGTCCACAATCAATGTGTTGAAAGTTATTGCATGTTTAGTAAGGGATGATTTTTTCTGTGTTACTGAAAATGAATAATTGCTAACTTCTTCGCTACCGGTAATTCTATTGCTATAAAAAAAATTATTTGATCGGTTTTATTTGCTTCATTGTTTGAATATCTGTAAAAACCTTTAAGTTATAATGTTGTTTTGAAATGCTTTTGGTTGGCTAAATAAGAGACACGCTGAAGTCAGGATTTTAAGTGACAATTATTTGATGCTAATGTTACACCACGAAAGTCATGTTGGCTCCGGAAATAGGGGTCAACTAAAATAAAATGCTATAAAGTCTTTGACACAGTTTGTATTTGATTCACAAAAAATAGTTTGCTTAACTCTCAACAGAAACAAAACTTCTTTTTCACTGGTTTATAAGAGTACAAATTACAAATTAGTTGTTTACATCAAACAATAGTGGGTAAGTTATATTGTAGAAAACATCATGTAAATAACTGTAAACTGTCCTCAGGTATTAACCATTTGTTTTTGAGTTTTAGAAATTTCCCTTGAGGTTTGTACCAACATTTTGAAACTTTCACTGATATAAACAAATTTGCAGGGATCTTAGAACCTGTATCTTGACACTACGGGCAACTTGAAGGCCAAACCCAAGTAGGGAGGCCACTCAATAATGCCCTCAATCTTCCCTTCAGGGTCAACTTTCCCCTTCAGGGCGCACCTCACCCTTCGTGGGACAACGCGGGATTTTTCACCTCGATACAAATTTTTTTCTTCCCGTCTGCCTGTCGGAATACCCAATCTCCCCTGCTCAACTAAACCCTCAAGCAGGTTTTCCGTCGTCCGTGCTAGCTGAACGTGTTCACACTTGACTCAATCAAACTTGATCACATGTGAAGATGTGTTCATCAAAGACATCTCTACTGAATATTCCATATTTTTGTATTGCTTTCAAATGTATACACCCTTCCCACCAAACATGCATTGGTAAGTCTAGCAAAATCACAACATGTGTCAGTTACAAAGAAAACTAATACTAACATAATGAACGTGAATAACAATTAATTGTAAAAGAAAAAAGTTTAATTTTACTCTTTTCGGTCTTTTCGGTTAGTTTTGAAACTAAGAAATAGTTAACCAACCGTTTCAATAATTAATGTTTTGCCTAATGTTCTATTGGGAAACAATTAACCGAATTTTCCTCCAAATATTAACACGATAACGTTTAGGATTTGTGTACCGGCCTAAACTGATAGAACATGATGAGCTATTACTTACCATTATACAGTTAAGCTCTTTTTTAAAGCTAGACACGGCATGTTGAAAGGTCAATTGTTGCCGCTGGTAAAATACTATCATCATAGGGATAAAAAAATTCCAACAGATTTTTAAAATTATAAATGTATATTAAAAGTTGTGGATTTCTTTCTCTAGCTCTTTCCCTGGACATTTTGAGATCCTTGTAGGAATAAGTACCCTTCCAATTTAAGACTTAATGTGAACCAAGAGATGCCAATCTTGTCTTTTTATTGTAACAAAGGTACAATATTTCTTGTTAATAAAGTATACATATCCTCCAGCTTTGTAACTTACTTTATCACAATGATTCACAAGAGATATGGTGGGTATCATAGACATTTTTCCACAAAATAGTAATGTCTTTGTCATTTTATCACGTTTCAGGTTAACTTTTTATATACAAACCTAAAAAGGATGTTACAAAATTTCTTTTCAAGAAAATTTTGAACTGAACACAAAATGCAGCATGCACTCTTAAATTTACTTAACTTAATGAGTTGAATGATCTTTTCACAGTATTATTATTGTTAAATCACACAAAAATAGCCTTTATTCAGCCCTGGTGGGATTTGTAATGTCCACACACACACAAACTCTCTCTCTCTCTCTCTCTCTCTGTTACTTATTCAGCAAGTGTTGGTGTTTTAGGTCTCGTTCTCGCTCGCCGCCACCACGACGTCGCTCAGTTTCCCGTTCTCGTTCTCGCTCTCTGTCACGCATCCCTCGGAGGAAAGTCCCCTCCAGATCTCCTTCACGAGAAAGGCGTTACTAACGTATTGGGTGAGTGTTTTCAACATTTCTAACTTAGTCATAAGTTAAACTCAAGCTATCTGTGAGATAATTTGTAATATTACACTTGTATTACCAAAAGAAGTGTTCCACTGTCAATAATCTATTTGCAGTAGATTCAAAGTTTGTTTATGGCTTCTAGAGACTCAAAAACCATGAAAAATATTGGGAGCGCAGATGTTGTTTGTTGTATTGTAAAATTTACGATTTAACATCTGCAGATATAACAATTGAAAAACATAACCATCCATGATCAGGTGTTGTAAAGTGTAGAACAAATGCTAAACAAACACCTAACCTTGATACCTAACATAGATAATTTGAAGTTGAATAAACATTCAAGTACAGAGAGAAATTAGTTGGTACTTGTATCATCATGTGAGGCAGATCTCAGAACATAAAGTTTCCCCTGCTGAGAGACATCTCCCTTAATGTCTTCTAGATGTAGACTTTTATCATTTAATACAATAGATTAAAACTATCGATGCAACTGGAAGGATTCTTATCTGAGTGTCCACAAAATTCTGACACTTTTAACAACTTGCACAGCTCATATGACCAGTAAGCCAGTTGATTTATTTCTTAAAAGTGTCAAATATTGAATAATTACCTCAAATACAAACACAATTAACCCTTATATTGCATCCATACTTCCTAAGGTACTTGGCTCCTATTCCATTAAATTAATCATACAGTAGTTAGGTTACGCTTTTGGGAACTATAAAATACTAGCTGTAACCCGCGGGCTTTGCCCCGTTTAACTTCTTAATTTTCAAGATTATCTCGTTCGCATGGCTCAATCACGTCCTGGTTGAAGTTTGTTCACTACGCTCACTCACCTTTAGGTTGGAGCTCGTTCGCTACGCTCACTCACCTTTAGGTTGGAGCTCGTTCGCTGCGCTCACTTGCCTTCAGGTTAGCTCGTTCGCTACGCTAACTCGCCTCCAGGTTGAAATTCGTTCGCTACGCTCACTCACCTTTTGGTTGCAAATTAGCTGTTGTCATAAATGTAAAAGAAATAATAGTGCTGCACCCTGTTGATAATTTTTGTAACTTTAATGCTATTGAACATCACAGAACAGAACCAACTTGTTTAATTGAAACAGCTGTTAAGATTCAATAATTTCATTTCTCATAAGGTTAACATGGGAAACTCCAGAGCCACTGGGGCGGAGCCCGAAAGGATTTTTGAAATAAGAATATGCCTATATGTTAATCGGGAATGTGAGCTATCATCATGCCAAATTTCAGCCCAATCCGACCAGTATTTTTCGCGTTCACTTGTCACAAACATACATCCATACATCCAAACTTTCTCATTTATAATATTAGTAGGATAACTTTGCTTTGGCATTTGTTAATCTTGTTCATTCATTGATCCAGCATCAGTTTTTCTTTTACGTTAAATAAGTAGACTTATACGGAAAACTTTCAGTATGTTCGATTGAGTTTATGGTAGTCAATTGATGTCAGGCACATTCGGTTGATTGGCTGTTACTATTCAAGTACTTTATTAAAATCCTATATATTAATAGGCAAGCATGTTTCTTTAAAACCTTTTTTCTCAGCTTGTGTGCACCACAGGGAAAATCTGCGCATACTGTTGGAAAGATATTTTCCTGTAGATGTGCAGAATCTCTTAATGAATTAAAAATAGTCTCAAAAGTAAGCACAAAAAATTAATTTAAAGTAAAAATAAATTAACATGGGCCTTATGGGTTGCCATTCTGGTGACAAAATTACAAAGGAATATATGCATATAAACAGAAATAGGAATATATACAGAAAATCTAAACAAATTGAAGAAATTTCAATCACATGATGGATTTACAGCGTGGGGTGAAAATAGTGAAGTCTGTACATTAAATATTTTTTTTAGAGTTTTCGGCCACTGGACGACCTCTAGTTTATGTAGGCCTAATTCAGCAAAATAGTTTGATTTTGTTTTCAACATTGTATACCATTACCTGAATCAACGAAATACCTACTTATAGAAGATAAAAATTAACCCTTAAAGATTACAAAGAAATTATTATAATTAATCCTAATAATCCTTTCAATTTTGTTGTTGTTTGCTATCTTGATAAATAGGCCTATGCCCTAATAGGCTATACTTTATTAAGGTGTGTCTATTGCAACAGTGTTTTGCCTAGTTTTTAGGTTTTTATGCAGCAATACTGCAACAGTTACCTCAAATGTTGTTTTTTTTTTCAGGAGGCTACAGCGGCTGTCAAAGCGACACACACTACTCACAGTCCCATTGGTTGTCAAGTCATTCCTTCATGTAGGTTAGCTTTTTTTAGTTTTTAATTTCATAATACTTAGAAATGGAACTGTGTGTGATCCTGAAAATGTGTTGTCTATAACTGTACTACCTAAATAAATTGTACGTAATGTGCTGTTTTAAATTTGTTTTCTATCTCTCCCAAACATACGGTTTATTTCGATATCTGTATATCTTCAAATTGTAGTATTTTGCTACATAATGTGTGTACATTGAATAGCAATGGCTTAGCCATGGTTAGCTTTTTCGACCATAAAAAAGCTACTTTTACATCTTGGGATTGAAGCGGCAACCTTATGATTAATAGGGCTTTTGATTTTACAACAACCCAGCTATTAGAGTTTCTTTGTCAAATGCATTTAATTTGTATGGAAAATCGAGTCATGTAACGCAACCTAGAATAGAAAGCAATCAGTCACTTTCAAGAATGCAATGACTTACTATCACTGAATCTAGAAGTAAATCGGTCCGGGGTCCAGGTCTTACCATGAGTATTAGCTGAGTAATAGCATGAGTATACCATGAGTAATAGCTTATTCCCTATATGGGAAATTTGCTAAAACTGAAACCCTAAACTAAAATTTAGGCTTCAACATTCCCTTCCTTTCAAAATTATCTTTTTTTCAACTCAAAAATCATGAAAATCCATAAAGTGGTTTGGTCGATTCAGAATTGTGGAATAAAAACCCCTTTCGCGTTCTAATATAATGGGGTTGTATCAAATTGAGGCGAAGTTTATGTTCCGGCAAAAAAAAAAAAATACAAAACTTATTTTCATTTTATTGTTCCATGTACAAAAACATAATAAATACTATATATGAATGTATTTATTATATTTTAATATTTAAACCAATATTTTTAAGCCATTTTCATCATGTCGGTAATAGTCCCCATGAAGTCATAGAGGAACTTGCAGTGGATGAAATTAAAAAAAATAAAAATAAATCTTTTATGTTGAATAAAAATGTTTCCGTGTTTTTATTTACCCCTCCCTATTATAAGTGTTTTACAATTAAATGACCGTCATCAAAAACTCTAGCACGTAAACGTAAGTTCCGTGGTAAAATGCCATTAATAACAATTTGAATTTGCCGCCATGATCAGTCAGTGCAGTAGCAGCGCAGTGGCAGAGCATGTGCATGTGAGTGAGTGAGTACTGGAGTAGCCAAATATAGCCCCGTGCCTCTGCATTTCATCACCAAATAATACCTTTTAAGGTAAGTGTTGTTGTTAGGCCTATGTTTATTGTCTGTCAGGTCGCTTAGGTCTATAAAACTATTATTTATGATAAGAAATAAATTATTTTATACAATGAATATCACAGTATTTGTGGTGCACTGTTGTCACATTAATCGTTTTCCGCCATTTTAGCTGTTATAACGGTAAGGTAGTACTAGTAGAAATGGCACTGATCCCTAATGAACAAAGACGGCCGAATTCGTCAATCGCTAATGCTCTGCTCAGTCGCTGACGTTATTGATCTTAACCAAAAGCTAAAAAGTTTAACCATAAACTAAACTAACCACAAGTAGGCTTCTAATCCAATTGTAAATTTTGAAGCTCTTTTTCTTGTCTAGTTATGTCCGGTGACACTGACACTGCGCACTAGTGTCAGCGAAATTTTGTTTTTATTATTTTAGGGTTAGTTGCATAATTTATGCTTTAATGTTTGAATGCCTAGAAGGCGAGTTATTGTTTATGATTAGAGCGACCGACAGACTGTGTTACCTATCAACTTGGCCAGCAAGTAAGTAGAAGTAAGAATAAAGTAGAAGTAAGAGTTTTAGCACAGAAAACATAATGGTTATAGTAGTAAGTATATTTTCTGTGGTTTTAGTCACTAGTGCTGGCTCACACAACTAGTCACTAGCGTCTGCCTGGCTCACAAAGTCACAAAACTACGTTCTTTTTTAACAAAAACTTGGTTACAGCTGGACCATATCGATGCGACGTATAGCCTACTTAGTATCCAATAGCATAGACAAAACGAATTTTTGTCTATGCTAGTAGTCGGTTTAACTCAGGTCGCTGACGTTATTGACACATCGATCTCTATTTTTAATGCTCAGGTCGATAGTGTTAGAGACGTGACAATTATTGGTGAGCGTTCTGGCTCGACATGTGTATATATACAAAAACACATAATTAAAGTTTATTTTTGCCGATAATTTATAATTATGGTAAACCATCAAGTAACTTCTGTGTGTTTAGCATAAATTAATTGAAAATTTTACTGAATAGGGAATTATGACTAACTAGGAAACATATTTTTTCGCCAACACTTAAAATTTTATATTAAATTGTTCACACAATTCACACAAATGTGATTTTTAGCGAATTTCCCTATAGGGAAGTAGCTATTACCGTAGGTGGCATGGTAAGACCTAGGACCGGGACCGATTTACTTTTTCATTTTGATGTCCCCAGAGGCCAAAAACACCATTCGTTCAAATTTTTATATATGTATATATATATAGGTAGGGTATATATATACCTATACATATATATATAGGTATATATATATAGGGTTGGGGAGCGAGCTGGCGTAGTGGTTAGAGCGCGGGACTTCAGTCCCTGAGGTCCCGGGTTCGATCCCCGCCAAGTCACCAATGGATTTATCTAAGTGATAATGCCGCAACCCCTAGGTCTAGCCTGAAGTAATGTGAAAAACAATCCCAGGCTCGTGCCTAGAGTCCTAGGACAAAAAAAAAAATATATATATATATATATAGGTTTAATATATATATATAGATATATATATATATATGTGTCCGTGAACAAGATAACTTGAGTAATTTTCGTCCGATTTTGATGAAATTTGGTTTAAAGGTGTAAAGCGGGATAAACTTGAATGAGTTCGCGAACCAGCATGATCGGACTATGGGAACGGGGATTTATGGGGGGTTTTATGGGGTAAAAATTGGTTTTTCTCACTTTTGACCCTCAAAACACAAAATTTCCCAATTTCTCTTTAGACCTTTTTAAAGAGCTTAAAAAAACAAATAATTTAGTATATCAAAGTATTTTTGTTCGGTTATTGGTAACGGAGAAAATTAAAAAAATTGTAAATTTAAAATTCCCATGATATTCTTATGGAGAATATTGTAAAATGTTGTAGTTTGCTTGTTTATGGATATATTTTGATCAAACTTGGCAAATTAATTTATTTTACACTAAGCTATTAATATTTGACTAAAAAACTCACTTTATTAGTTTCCTTGTAGCAGCAAACCTAGGTACTTGTTAAACCTTATGTTATTTGAATACCTATATTTAATGAAAATCAATTCAGACAAATGGAAATTCGCTTAGTCGGCAGGTTTGCTGCGGCGGGGGTATTTGTTTTCTTCTAGCTGAAGGCTGCCATTTTTTTACTCCGTAGAGGCCAGAGGGACATTTTTGTTTCTTTTGTTACAGATTGATTGAATACAATTTCAAATGGCAAAAAAGGCCCAGAAGACGCAGAAAGGAAACTGACCAATATGAGAGACAAAAGAAGATGGCAGCTGAGAGGCAGCAGAGATTAAAGCTCGAATGACTGAAGGACAGTTGGAACAAAAAAGAAAGAGGGACAGAGAAAGACGTACCAGGTTAAGGGAGGAGAAGAAAGTAAAGCCCATTTCTGAGATGAATGCTTCTGAGCAGAATAAAACAAGAAAAGAGTGGCGGAAGTATTCTGCAACTTATAGGGATAAGCAAAAAACCTTGCACGGTGTTTTCGGAAACACTCAACCTTCATCTAATACAGAAGAAAATCAAGAACCCCAGGTATCCAGACGGAAAGAAAGTGGGAGGAAAAAAATCCGTCGTGGTAGAGCAAAAGCCTACAAAAAAATTAATAAGCAAGCGGAAGAAAAAAAAATGCAAAGGAAGATATACATAAGAAGATATAAAGATAGTGTCCCTTAAGTAACCAGTCAAATTCTGAAAATGGGTTTATAAAGGCCAGAGTATATATAAGTGAGTATTCAAGTTTAGCTCATGTGAATGAATCTTCTATTGGCTTATCTCTGAGGAAAGAGTACTACAATTAGAATGTTGACTTGAAGTATTTTGATATATTGATGTTTACAATTTGTTTACTTGAATTTGTTTATTTTTGTTTACTTGAATTATTTTGATATATTTTTGTTTTCAATTTTAAGTATACTTAATATGTGTTTTGATTAGGACACATGTGCATCTTAAATGTAAAAGGTTTTTTTTTAAACAAAGAGATAGCATAATTTTGCCTTTTAAAGAGAAGTAATAATATTCACAACATTTGCATTTCATAAATTTTGAAATCATAATTTTAGCGAATTTCCCATATAGGGAATAAGCTATTACCGTAGGTCTCATGGTAAGACTTGGACTCGGGACCGATTTACTTTTTCATTTTGATGTCCCCAGAGGCCAAAAACACCATCCGTTCAAATTCATATATATATATGAATACCTTTAAAAAGTACACAGCATAGGCTAAGGATTAGAGATGTCCATCAGCACGATAACTCGAACAAAAATTATCTGATTTTGATGAAATTTGGTATAAACGTGTAAACTTACATTTATTTGAACGAGTTCGTGAACCAGCATGATCGGACCATGGGAACAGGGGTTTATATATGTATACGTTTTCCCCATTTTTGACCCTAAAAACATAAAATTTTGGAATTTTTTTCCCAACCATTTTGTAGAGCATAAAAAAGAAATAGTTTAGTATATTGAAGCATTGTTGTATGCCTAATGGTTATGGAGAAAATTCAAAAAAATGAAAATTAAAATTCCCATGTTATTTTTATGGAGAAAATGAAAACTGTTGGGGTTTACTTGTTTATGGATATATATTGATAAAATTTGACAAATTTATTTATTTCATCCTATACTATTGACTTATGGTCGAAAAACGCTTTTTACCTTCCCTGTAGCAGCAAACCTAAGCACTTGTTAAATCTAATGTTATTTAAATTGAGAATAAATATGTCTCATATATGGAAATATTTTAGTAAAAATGTAATCAGACAAGTTGAAATTCGCTTAGTCTGCAGGTTTGCTGCGGCGGGGGTATTAGATTATACCTTTGACATTATACTCATTACTAACCATAATTATGATGCTTCCGAATTCCGAATCCAGAGGTAAGTTACCTGCTATCATAAACTTTGTATTTAGGCCTATTTAAGTTACTTCATGCAGATTTCACATTCATCATCTATTCTATTCTAATAATGCAATATCTTTATGAGCGTTTTATAGTTATTACAATATGTAGGCCTACTCACAGACTTCTCCGTGATATACTGATATTTTCAACGAGCTTCCCCCCAAACGAGACAAGCTTATTAGTTCAGTTAAGTTGTCCTTGACATATAGTTTAAATTTTGTAAAATTCATTAGCTGTAAGCTGAAACACAAAAAAAATTTAAATTGTTTCAACAATCGAGGCAGTATGTGAAAATATCTCACGGTCGTGAGAAGATTACCGTCGTCTACCGCGAATGAGGCACAATTCTGATCATCCCTCGTGGCCGAAGAAATCATTATTGTATCTCCCGCGGTCCTGTCCACATGGTAATAGTCTTCTGTGGTCGTGTGGACACTAATCGCCTCTCGCGATTGCGGCAAAATGTAATCATATTATCCCACAGTCGTGTGGAGATCATCATCGTCTTCCGCGATCGCGGCAAATTTCTTCCTGTTTCCTGCGGTCGTCTGGACATTTTCATCGTTTTCCATGATCGCGGAATATTCTGACCATACCTTGCGGCTTTGAATAGGTATAAAATCTGCGTCCTTGTAAAACCATTCCTCGTGGCCGTGTGTAGACATATTTTCGTCTCTCACGGCAACGAAAAGTCACTGTTGTCATACGCAACCGTGGTAAATTAACAATTCCATGAAGAAATACGACATTCACCCATAATTCCCGAATTTTCCGGTCGGTGGACACCCTGTCACATATTGCAAAGGGATGCTACTCATCGGTGCTACTATTATGCCTAATTGTGACCGTGGGGTCTCATAGCTTATACTGGTATAGCTTATAATCGGGAATTCGTTCCACAGCTTATAATTATTTTGAAAATGTGGCATAGCTTAAAATCAGTTATACAAAATTATAATCAATGCAACAATTTCTCTAAAACGTTATAAGGTACGAAACATTTTAAGTTTCACAACTGATGATGCCATAAAAGTCAAATAGTGGTGCAGCTTATAATTCCGATTTTGTTCACGATAATTTGAGGTCCATTGTACGATAATTTGATTGTTTACTGAGGATCAATCAGCTGTTCTATTCGCTACTTCATTCCGGCACGTTATAAGCTATGCTTCCCAGTATAAGATATGCCACATTTTCACGATTATAGTTATAGAAAAAATTCACAATTATAAGCTATGCCATTATAAGGTATGGTATCTTGTGCCTAGGCAAGGCTTTGGCCGTGGCCTAGCACAGCCACCTGTTGGTGGCTGTGGCCTAGTATAGGGCGCTGGCAGGGTCAAAAACGGGCCTCTGCAGCTGATATTTGGCTATGGCTAGCGGTAGTGAGTGAATAAAAACAAACAATAACATAACCTCTCTTACGACGAGCATAAAACCCATCCGCGACCGCATCCCTATATATGACTCCATGATAGGAATGATTGTTAGTGTTTTAGTCAGTGGGAATATATAACGAATTTGCAAAGTGTTTTTTTCATTGTTCAGTCAAGTTAGCCTAGTACTAGTATGGCGGTAATCGTACGTCACTAGTTTGAAATGTGTTTACCAAACTCGTACGGTAGGCTAGGCTAATCCTCGCCTTGGTAGCCTAAACAGTCAACACACATTTTCTGTATTTTTTATAGTACATACTGCAAATCGTAATACCGGTACACTATTAAATTAAAGATGAGGAATGAACCACTTAACTTGTTAGTAGTGGTGTAGTACGTAATGAAACCCCATTTCATCAACTTGCACAATTAACAGGCGGCAAACCAGCTACCCTAGCTATTAGCTATTTATTTAGGGAGACTACAACTTGCAATTGTACGAAAAGTCCAACACAGTGTATAGTGTGGTGAAAATTCAAATAAACCTAGGCTAGGCCTATTTTACCACAGATTACAGATAAACCTACACTTGGAGTGAAGGCGAACTTTCAAGAATTTGTGTGATCCATGGGACCAAATTTCTTATTTAGAGCTCCTCTGACCTATCTTAATCCTTAGACCAACTTATCTGCCGTCGAGGTTACTTAACTACCTAGGTCTTAACTACCTAGGTACTCAACATAGCCTAATCTTAAAAAAGATAGGACTAAGTTGTGATTTGGAGCTACCTATAGCAAGCAATGTTGATAAGAAAAGTGCTTAGTAAGTGGAAAGGAACAAAGTGGGTTACTGAGGACGGTTATATTTTTAAATTCAAAAGGAAACTAATCAAAAAATATGAGAATTCTGTATCGATGCTTTGTCAAGTAAAACATTGTTCCGCAGTGTGCTATGTACAATTTGAAGTGCCCTGGGAATGTAATCCTGAATGTGGAAAAATAATTGCTTTGAAGAAGAATCATGCTCCTGGTTTTATGTGTCAAGAAAAGAATTTCTATGCTATCCAAAAACTACGGCGAAATATACTTGTGAGGGCGGAAAGAGAAAATACGGAACTCTCGGTGATATTCCAAGAAGAAACAAACAAGTGAGTTAGGCCTACCCGTACCTTATATTCATTAATTACCGGTACTCTTTTGCTAGTTCATGCATTAATTCCGTAAAAGTGAGCTGCAACCAAATATTTTACACATTAAACCGTGTTTACACTGGAGTTTGGAACAAAATTTTTAGTAGGCTAACAAAAGTTACTAACAAGAACAAGTAAGTTAGGCCTAGTGCCATTTTCTTTTATTTTGTTCAAAACAATTTATTCACCGTTCCAGTATTCTGGAGGACACAAGGTCAGTAACTTACTCCTTCTGAGGATGACTTACAGAAGAAAATGTTTAACACCTGCAGCAGCGGCTTGTGTGATCCTAGATCCTACCTAAAGAACAGAGACCGAGACAATACTAGATCAGATCGTCACTGATATCTAGATCCAAATACAGTGGCAATGATTTAAATGGTGGTTGGCTAGATTATTTAAATAGGGATGATATCGACTTCATATTAGGAGAACTTCGGATGGACGGGAGCTTCAAAATCTTTTTGAGAATGTCCAGTCATTTTTTTAGAACATCATGTAGGCTACTTTTTTTGGGAGGCGAGAGGGCTGAAGCAGAGGGTGCGGCGCTTTGTCACGTAGTGGTGGGTAGGCATGGGGGGAGGCGTGGAAGTGTTGTAAGCATTGTACATAAGCACTGAAACATGGGTTCCAAACAAATTTTTTGAGCAAGCTTTGATGATCTTTACCGACTTCTGGTGGGAAACAAAATTTCTGTTGTAAACACTAAAAAAACTGTTCCGAACATCAAAATGTTACTTTTAACAGTAGTGTTTCTTTGTTTGTTAGAATTATTTGTTGTAAACACGTACGTTCCAAACTCCGGTGAGGTAGACAGGCAGATCTACTACTAGACTGAAATAAAATACCGTAATATAAAATAAAAGGTACCTACCTATCATAAATCTTCATCATGGCTACCTATGATATTTTATAAGGAAATTCAAAGGTTGCAATACTTTTGAGTTTTGAACTGTAATTTTTATAGCTATTGGGGGTTGTACTAGGCTACCTACTGTATTTTGTTGAGATTTATAAGAATCATAACATACAGATTAATAAAAACAGGCATTTTTGCTAAAATCCGTTTTACGTTTTTTAATGGGAAAATACATATAATAAGTTACAATAACTTTTGAACCAACATGTTTACAGGAATAGGAGTTGTACCATCTTTCCAGAATTTAAACAACTATAGCCTAACATACTAAATTTCTATCAAAATCAGTCGGGCCTTTTCTTATTTAAAATTTGATTTTTTAGTTATTTTATAGGAAAGTCAACATTAAAAATAAAATTTAAAAAAAATGAAAATAATCAGCTGTAGATACCATGGATTTAGTACCTACTGTAACTTCATCAAAATTGGACTGCAGGTGCGGTCTGTAGCTACACATCCATACAGACTGACAGACAAACACATGGACAGATACTATCACTTCAAAAAATCAAAACCCACTTTTTTGGGTTCAGGGGGACCCAAAACAAATATGTCCACTCAAAACTCAAACTAAAATATTTTTATAAAAACAATACTTCCTACATAAAGGGGCCTACTAGGGAAAGAAAGTAAATAAACGGTATCAGCATTCTGACACATACTTTCTCCCATAAGTTTGTCAACAACCTTTATCATGTGTAAGCGGTGAGAGTAAATATACGGAAATGGGATTTGTACAATTTTGTTCAGAATTTAAAGGACTATAACATAGGCCTACTAAACTTTTATAAAAATCGTTGGGGCCATTTTTAGGAAAATCAGATTTTTCTGTTATTTTATGGGGTTTTATGGGAAAATCCCCATTAAAAATAAAAATTTCTAAAATATAAAAAAAATATTAAAATTTTAAGGACACTGGTGTATGTTTTGATTAACATACTATGTTAAATCAAAACCCGACTTTTTCTAAACCGGAAATTCTATTTTTCGTTATTTTATGGGGTTTTATGGGAAAATAACATATTTGACCATAACTTTTGAACCATAATATTTACAGAAATGGGATTTGTACCATTTTATTCAGAATTTAAAGGGCTATAACATACTAAATTTTTATCAAAATCGTTCAGGCCATTTTTGAGAAAATCTAAAAATTTCAAAAAAAAATGAAAAAAACGCCTGGAGATACCATGGATTAGAACCTACATACCAAATTTCATCGAAATCAGACCACAGGTGTAGTCTCTAGCTCTCTACACATCCAGACACACACACACACACACACACACACACAGACATCACTTCGAAAACCACTTTTTTGGGTTCAGGGGGACCCAAAACGAATATATCCACTCAAAACTCAAACTCGAAAATTTTGACGAAAACAATACTTTCTCCATATGCTATGATATAGGGGTAGAAAGTAAAAATACTATAGCAGGCCTATAGGCCTTAGCTATTACCGTTGGCCTCATGGTAAGACCTATCACTGTGTGACCGATGTACTTTTTCGTTTTGAGGTCCCCAGAGGTCAAAAACACTATCAGTTCAAATGCATAGATAAACTAAATATGTGTCCGTTAGCACTGACTTATTACTCGAGTAAAATTAATCTGATTTTGATGAAATTTGGCACAAATGTGTGATAACTTGTTTAGGTTTGTTTAAACAAGTTTGCATACCAATGTGATCGGACTCTGGGAGATGGCCGGATTAATGGGGTGAAAATTGGGTTTTCTAATTTTTGACCCTCAAAACATAAAATTTCCCAATTTCTCTCTAGATACCATTTTGAAGAGGTATTTACTCAGGGGAGGTATAGAAGAGGCTACGATGACAGCTGTGGGCTTCTTATTAGCTGAGGGAACGCCAATAACGTAACAAAACGGTCGATGGCCATCGGCCTCGGTGGTCTAATGGTTAGCTTGCCGGGCTGATATGCTGTAGGACCCGGGTTCGAATCCTGCTGGTAACATAAACTTTTTGTCCAAGATTTTTTTATTATCAGCAGGTTTGGTTGGTTCGGTTCGGTTATTACAGTTTAATTTTATTATTAAGTCATTATAAAATTTTAATTGAACAATTTCCAGTTTTATTTAATAAACAGAAATATTTTTCCGATTACTAAACTTTTGTTATATTATTTCTTTATCAGCAAGTTTGGTTAGTTCGGTTGGGTTATGATAGTTCAATTTTATAATTAAAAAATAATAAAACTGAATTTGAGGCATTTATAATTTTATTTTATGAACAGAACTATTTTTGCGATTTTAGTAAACCTTCATTGCCAAAGTGCTCTCTACTACAGCGCTGTTCACGGAGGAATTTTGAACTAAATGCCTCATTCGTACCTCCCCTAAATCAGACCCTTTTGAAGAGCTTAAAAAAATAAGTTAATTTTAGCATGAAGTGTTTATGTACAGAGGTTACAGAAAAAATAAAAAATAAAATATTGAGAGGCTATAAAATTCCCATGTTATTTTTATGGAGAGTAAGTAAACTGTTATACAGTTTTTTTTTTTTTTTTTTTTTTTTTTTTTAAGAGGTTGGTGGCCTCTTTTAACCTTGCATTTGCCCGTCCACATAGACTAAGCGCCCGTGCGTGGATCGTTTGCAGCAAAGCAAGGAGTGAGCCGGTACAGTACAAAGGTGAACTGAACTGATAAAATGTTATCGGCAGTGACCAGGATCCGAACCCACGACATCGCTGCCTTGGGCCCGAAGTCCGCGACGTTACCGACTGAGCCACCGACTCACTAATATGTTGACTTGTTTATGGATATTTTGACCAAACTTGGCAGATTTAATTATTTTAGGCCTTTGACTAAGCTGGCCTATTATACTTAAAAAAAAAAAACTTTATTACCCTCTCTGTAGCACCAATCGTAGCCTACTCGTTGGACCTGATGTTATTGAAATATTTGTGAAAATCAAATCAGGCAAATGGAAATTTGCTTAGCCTGCAGGTTTGCTGTGGCGGGGGTATTATTTTACTAATAACTTACGTATCTGAACACTAAGGTAACACTAAGGTGTTTATCACAGCCTATAGTAAATACCTACGTGTATAATGCTTGGTCATATTTTGCATGTTACACAAAAGATTTGCAATTAATGGCAAATTTATCCTTATGTTGTAGAGCTCCTGATGAGGTAAGGGATAAACTCAAATTTTCTCAGTTGGAGCGAACAATGCAAAGAGTTCGCGCTCATATTTCGGCTAATCTTGGCACACCAAATACTATGGCAGAATTTGCTCAGCTTCTGGACCTGTGGAAAGACAAATATGGCACTGTGAATCATGAGAAGTTTTGCCTTGGTCTTCAAGGAACCGGAAATGAAGAGTGTATTATAGCTGCAGTTTCACCTATTATTAACCACCCATCCTTCGACAAAACCGCACCTTGGCATCTACATGGAACCTTTGATTGCCTACCGAAATCCCCAAGGATGAGCCAGTTGTTCGTGATCATGTCATCACAGTTCGGTAGAGTAAGTATACAAGGCATTTTACACTTGTTTTACACTCGCCCGTAGGGCTAATGTGTAAACAAATTGTATCCTTTTGTCGTTCATTTGAGAGCAAGTTAATTGTGTAATTTAATATTTCAAACATTACCCTAACAAAAATCCCTTTAAACCAAGCCAATTTATTTTCTTGTAAACAAGATAGGTTGTCACTCTTGGGCGTCCATCCAACTTTTTCAAAATCGATTGGCCAGGGGGCCTAGGGTGGTACAAAATTGCCCCCCAGTAAAGAGGAGGTCCGGGAGTTCTTTCCCAAAATTTTTTAAATTTATTTACACAATGGATAAAACTTGAGCCCCCATATTTATGTCTGTACATGCTTTCATTAACAAAGTAGACTGTGGAATCATGATCTTACAAAGGCAAAGGGGATATTGATATAACAGAAGTACTGGCCGAAGTTTCTGATGCGAAACTGAAGAGTGGTGTAATTTTTGCCAGTTAACTGACGCTTACTTCCCTCAATATACCAAGATTGAACATACTATTTCCTAAACTAAACATTTGCTCCAGCATACTCATAAATAAAAATGATTTAAGTGATTTTAGTAGGTACTCTCAATATACCCTAAACACTGTTGGAATTGAGAGAATAGTATGTATTTGATAGGTACAAAATTAATATTTAATACCTCTCAGTATATTATTTATTATTATAATATTTAGGTTTCATGAAGTTCAAGTAATACATTTTTTAGATAATTTTTCTTATGTAATGGATGGATTTTTTTAGTTTTTGTGTCACAAAAGGCTTACTGTGATCATCAAAAAAGTTAAGAACTAAAGGTTGTATCCTAATCAAAATATTTTTCTTTTTGTTTCAGTCTGTACCAATTATTTGGGCTACCATGACAACATGCACAACAAAAGCGTACAATGTGTTGTTTAAGGCTGTAAAAGAGCATTTCCCAGGAATAAAACCCTCCGTTATCTTAGGAGATTATGAGAAGGCTATGCGTTCTTCTTTAAAACGAATATTTCCATCCTCAAAGCAAGTAGGCTCTTGGTTTCATTTTATACAGGTAAGATATTATACTAGTAGAGTACAATCTTGATATTTTAGTCACATTTTTTATTTTATTTTTGTCAATAAAACCGTACTGTTGCTGAATACATATATTTTAAACTATTTAAGACGTTATTTTCAATCCGTTGCATGGTCCTTAAAATCAAACTGATATAAAATTTTATAAGAATGTAGGTGAGGTCAGTCAAGTCTTGCAAACTCATTAGGTATGATTATCCTTCTGTCCAGATCGCTCACATTTTTAAGTTCTTCAAAACCATATGATGTGGCGAGTAAAACTGGAGATGAACTATAAGAACCAGCTATCTTCAACAGGGTCATAGTTCATTTTCTTTGCATTTGGAGCCATAACCTTAAGTTCAAAGAGCTAAATGTCAAACACTTTTTTATGTAGGCCTACCCATTTTCATTTGGAAGTCCACTAGACCCCCGCGCACGCTCCAGCGTAAAAGAAACGAGCTTAAGGGTTAACCTTATGACTAATGTGTTTGGAATCAGGGGTAGCTCATAATGGTTAGGTCATGCCTTGTGTACTACCTATGTCAGTAACGAAAAATAAGGTACAAAATAGAGTTTTAGACACTAGCGCAATCTGTGACTGGCTCACACAACTACATTCTTTTTTAGTAAAAAATTGGCGACAGCTGAACCATATAGATGGGATGTCTTCTTCTGTATCCAATAGTCAATGGTACTACACATGAGGGAGTCGAAAGGATGGGAGATCGGGGCTGGAGGTGTATGGTAACAAACCCAACATTTCTTTAGCCTCGGGTAGCACAGCAACTGTCTCAGTCAAAGGCGTTTGAGTGCTGTGCGAAAACCCTTCAGGACAAGAATCTGAGTTTAAATAATTTTGCCACAAAGACTGACTATATGAATTATATAATAGGTTACTTACCATTTGTCTGTCTTCAGTCTTTAAATGAAATATAGTCCAAGGATGACTAGTTTCGCCTAAGGCCTATGTACACACAAGGAACATATAGATTGTGGATTTAAAAATGGTTCTATGACACGAAACTCAACATCCGTAGACTATATTTAATGACTTAAGACGGACATAAGGTACGTAAGAATCTGTCAAACACAGTAAAGGGATGTAAACACGACACATTGCTCTCACAAAGGGCCAGAACTTTGACTTTATGGCCCTTTTTCCTGAGCATGTAGCAATAACAATCATTGTAGCATGTAACCTTAAAAGTTTTGTACACAGATCAAATGCACAGTTTAATTACACTTTAGTAATCAAATGGCAGTGTAAGTGTTTGGTATGAAAATCTAAGTTGACATGGTTTAAGTTGCAAAATTGAAATGTCTCCCTAGAATTTTGCATTTTCACCAGTCATGGATTGATTTTGGGACACTGTTAAAATGTGTGTTTATTTAAGTATCTATCTATAAGTATAAAAGAAAATGTTTGTATATATATTTGTTTGTTTGTTTGTTTGGGGGTGATAAACTCGGACACCGCTGAACCGATTGCCACGAAACTTGGTACATACGTGTAGAATGTCATGGAATAGGTTTATACACCATCAATTTCGTGATCCGTCCAATAGGCTCCGCCCCAGTGGCTCTGGAGTTTCCCATGTTAACCTTATGAGAAATGGAATTAATGAATCTTAACAGCTGTTTCAATTAAACAAGTTGGTTCTGTTCTATGATGTTCAATAGCATTAAAGTTACAAGGATTACCAACAGGGTGCAGCACTATTATTTCTTTTACATTTATGACAACAGCTAATTTGCAACCAAAAAGGTGAGTGAGCGTAGCGAACGAGCTAACCTGAAGGCAAGTGAGCGTAGCGAACGAGCTAACCTGAAGGCAAGTGAGCGCAGCGAACGAGCTCCAACCTAAAGGTGAGTGAGCGTAGCGAACGAGCTCCAACCTAAAGGTGAGTGAGCGTAGCGAACAAACTTCAACCAGGACGTGATTGAGCCATGCGAACGAGATCATCTTGAAAATTAAGAAGTTAAACGGGGCAAAGCCCGCGGGTTACAGCTAGTATGTAATTGAAGTTGTTTAAATAATTGCATTATTTATTACATTTTTAGGCTATTGAAAGGAAAGCAAAGCTACTAGGCATTCCTTATGATGGTCCTGGTGAAGGGAAAACAATTGCAAAATGGTTAATGGCAACAGCATTACTTCCTCACGACCAAGTTGAAGAAGCCGTGGCCCAACTGGAAGATAAGTCGCTCAGTTTAAATGACCCTGCAAAAGCCAGCCTCCTGATAGAGTAAGAGTTGCATGAATAATTTATTTTCTGTTATATGAACATTTAAATTACAGGTCAAATATTATAATCAAATATACAGGGTGTTTCGTAACTCTCATTGGCTTATCACATGTACTTAATTAACAAGTAATATAAAGTCCAATGTTAAAACCGCTTTATGCGACACCTTGTATATACTAGCTAGCCCATATTAGTCCTAAAAAATGTCCAAATACTTACGTTGTTATTGTAACGTTGTATTGTTGTTGTAACGTAAGTTATTGTTAAATTTATGATATTGATTGACTCAATTAAGTCATGTAACCGACGGAAACTTCTGTTTTAGATACTTTAAGAAAGAATGGATTCAAAAAGTGACATCAAAGTCGTTCTCGGTTTATGGACAAACAGAGAGAACCAACGACTGTTACGAATCTCTAATGATGAGGATTAATAAAACAATAAAACCCCAGGGGAATGCTTGCGATTTTTGGGGTGAGTTACAATAATAAAAATTTTAGTCATAATTATTATGTTTTTTGTCATGTATCAGTAAATTATTCTTTTTTTAATGTTTGAAGTTTGTTGCTTTTCCAGTTTTAAGGAATATAATTATAAGTTGACCTTATGGGTTCTTGATGTGTAGTGAAGCGAAATGTACACCAATGTAAATAAACTTTGCTCTTAATTATGCAATGTCTGGCTTTATCACACATCAAGAGGATCCTGACAACCGTAAGGTAAATCTATGTAATTATTCCTTTTTTTTGTTGACACTATAATATGTTAACAAGCATATATTATCACAGTTTTGTTGTGTTGCTTACTATTTCAATCTGTATAAATAATATGCTATAAAACATATAACAAAAAGCACCTCTTACATTGTCAAGTCATAAAAATCAAACCCTGATGGAAAAATATCAACTGTTCAACACACATTACAAATTTTGCTGAAAATCAATTTAAAATGTTTGAAACAACCCCAGATTGATTCCTTGTTTGGTTGATAGTTTATACTTTAAAATATATTAATTTTTTGCAGTTTTTATTAAGAGGGTGTTTCTAAAACAATAGTTTCCTACAACTTATTGCTAGAAATTCACAATTTTCTTAATTACAGATGGTTTGAGATCCATTTCCGTTAAAGAGATTATGCTCTTTAACCGGCTGCAACGAGGGCCACCATCAGCTGTTAGAAAACTAAGAAACAAATGGCTTCTGAGAGACAGAAGTATCAAAAGCAAACAAGAAAGGTTTATTCGTGGTGAAATTACAATTGAAAATTTTGTGGCCGAGACAAACTTTTTTATTGTTCTGTCTGGGGATACAATCACCGACCCTGACTTCTACGAACATGTGGATAAAGAGATGGTGCCCCTTGATGTCTTCGATGGTATGAACAATCATAGAACTACTAGTTTAAGCTTTAAGATGTTTTTTTAGTAGACCTTAATGTATACAATAATTTTCCAAATTTCTATTCAAGAATATTATGTTGAACTATGTGTAACAAAATAGACACCAAAAACATAAAAGTAAATATGTGTATGATACAGTTTTAAAATTAAGTGAACATTAAAGACTATTGTTTTTATAACGTGTTTACGCTTTGCTAGGGTCAATAGTTATTTGTGTAACTAGTGGTGAAAGTGGCACTTTGCTGCACACGAGAGCAATGTTTACGCACGAGCCGCAGGCGAGTGCGGAATGATCTCGAGTGCAGCAAAGGCCTTTTTCACTCGTGTTACACATTATATTTTTCCTACAGTCACTATAAAGCATATAAATAATTAGTCTTTCAAACACTATACAACACGTTTTTAGGTTCAGCCGGCGACACAAATGGTGCCCTAGAGAAAGTAGTACCCGCGGTCCGTATCACTCCGCTATTTTTCCTCGGCAAGAAATGCGCTCCGCGTTTTGAGAATATAGTTCCGTATGTTTTTCTAATTTGAAGTGGTTTCCGCGCCTAAAAAAATCCTTTAAAGGTATTTTCTTGTTTATTAAGATCGTAGGAATGTTTTAAAAACGTTTAAAAGAAAAGTCCAGAAAGTTCAGAAATACCGAAACTATAAACACGAAATGACAGGTTAAATCGTAGTTATAATAGTCAATCAGCTGCTCATAGTATTTTTATCTTTAAGTGTTGCCAACCTATTTCCAAGCGTACACGGATTACGTGCATAATAAAACCACGCTTTTTTGTGTTGTTTCGTTTGAATCCTGATGTGCGGCAAAGTATAAACCGTACGGCAAAGTATAAACCGTACGGCAAAGTATAAATATGCAGCAATTAGCAGCTTTCTGTACTATAAACAGTACAAGGAAGCCAACTTTGTCGGGTGACTGTAGGAAAAGTAAATTTATTTTAATAAACATGTGTTTAACAATCAGCAGATTAACTGCAAAGAGTTTGTCCATTCAATTAGAGAAGGGGATTCAATAGCCAATGAGGTAAAGCTCTGTGACAGTAAACTTGTTGTGATTAGTGAGACATGAACCAAGGCCCCACTAGAAAAACAGGCCATGCTGCAGCACGGGCAGCGCAACACTACGTCACAGTGGTGGATAGCTGTACTAACTCTTACCATTAAAATCTTACAAACAGCCAGCTTATTTATTTACCTTAAACATATGGGAATGATGATGGTAATGAATTTATCAATGAAATCTATCCACTAGTGTGACGTCATGGATCCTGCAGCATGGCCTGTTTTTCTAGTGGGGCCTTGCATGAACCCTGACCTCACCTCTAAGTGTAGTCTTTATATCGTTCCCAATGTTAATCCTGTGTATTGTTTTCCATATACATAAACACTTTAAATGGTTCATTTCCACAACAATCTTTCAAATTAATTGTGTGTTTTTTTATAGACAAACTGAACAGATCAATATTCAGTTATATTGTAAAAATTGGCTGCCTATGACTAGAACAATTTTAATGAACGGTTTGGTTACAGATACCGATAATCCACAATTGGATCCTAATGAAGACAATGTTCCGACAAGATATGATTTGAGGTAAATATTTTTTGTCATTTAAAACTTAATGTAATTTTGTATGAAGTTTGCTATCTAATTGTAAACTAGCCTGTCTATGTGCACTATGCAGGTCTTATAAATGCAGACCTTTTTTTGCACATGCTGTTGGTGAGGTTCCATAAATACAGACCTTTTTATCCACTTACGGTTGCTGAGGTCCTATAAATACAGAACCTTTTATACACTAACCGTTGCTGAGGTCCCATAAATACAGACCCTTTTATACACTTACAATTGCTGAGGTCCCATAAATGCAGACCCTTTTATACAGTAACAGTTGCTAAGGTCCTATAAATACAGACCCTTTTATACACTAACAGTTGCTGAGGTTGTATAATTACAGACCATTTGCTGAAGTCCTATAAATACAGACCCTTTTATACACTTACAGTTGGTGAGCCCCTATAAATACAGTCTTTTTTACCCACTAACAGTTGCTGAGGTCCCATAAATACAGACCCTTTTAACACTAGCAGTATTATTCTCTTTTGTGTCAACTTCTCTTTGCGAAGCACGAGTATAACAGCTTATTTACTGTGATTTCAATAAAAAAAAATTAGAAAAGAGCGTTTAGATATGTGAAGGAAAGCTCTTAAAGTAGATCCAGGTTTAGTTAATTATGGAAAGCCCAAGCTAATTCATACGAGACCATAACAAGCAATAACAAACATAACATTAACATTACATTACATAATAACATAATAATAGCATAATAATAGCATAATAACATTGTAAATGCTTCCGGAAACTATTAGAATTTGTTTGTATACAGAAGTAGAGATAAAGCTGTCTTACTTCTACAGTGTAATCATGTAAACAAGACCTGACAGCCCTGTGGTTTTTATGTGATGGGCTATGGGCCCGAGAGATAGTTTAGGCCCCCTCTCCACCCATTTTGTGGGGAAATTTTTGTCTTCTTTTGCACCTCCAACAAACCTACACCCCTTGCATTCATCAAAGCAGCCCTGAGATCCTACTAGACCTAATTCAAATGCAATATACAGTACAGACGATAGTTATTTTCTTGATTGTCCCCTGCTCACGGGTATCCTTATATATAATACGTGAAGGCTATTTCTACGTAACACTACTCCTTCGATAATAATGGACGGATTTTTACAAACAATGTGTCAAAATTAACTATTTTTTTATGTATACGCCCCTTTTCACCAATTCCTGTAATAAAGGTCTTTGGGCTTTGCCCCACAGGTCATCAAAATCCAAATGTATTTCTTGTGAAGAAAATATTTTGTTTACTTAAACAGACGAATCATTTGTATTAATTACAGCTGTTCATAGTAAACACACATGAGCATTCGTTTTCAGAGTGAGTTCGTTTTCAGTTTCGATAACTGGAGTGGAGTGATTGATTACATTATCATTGAGTTGACTCTTTTAAGTCATCGGATATTGTGACTGTTGTTTGTTTTGAAATATAACGCCTGTAATACTTTGCAATTGCTCGAATTCGAGCAACAGGTGCACTAGTTTATATTTAGTCATCACCATTATAAAATAACACTGAATCATGTATTGGTATTTCAGTAACGATCCTGGGTGCTTCATTGAGCCTGTAGCTATTGAGGAGGAGGTTATGCAAGAAGATTATGAAAATACAATCAACTCCGACAATTATGAAAATACAAATAGCTCGGACAATTATGAAAATACAAATAACTCCATGTATTCACCTGGGCTGTAAGTATGTTGCATATTAATTAGAATGTTTGAAAACACAATTGCACTAAGTGGTTTTTACAGTAAAAACTGTTATACACTGCAAATTGATTATGATTTCTCAAAAAGAGAGTGAGGCGTTACTGAACTACAATTTAGTTTAGTCAAGACAAGTGCTGATGACAGATGACTGATTGATTAAGGGATAGTCCAATGGGGTTTGAGGCAATATAAACGATATTTTTAGTTTCTTGAAATCAGCAACAGGAGTCTGTAGTTTAACCGGACAGTTTTTATCGGCAGGAAGTGAGCGGTACGTGGTACTGAAACAACTTTTCTCGTGGGAAAGAACCTTGAGACCAGTGATCACGTGTCTTGTTTTACTATTTTAACATAGTAATCGTTATTGGCTTATACAGAATGCTTTAGACTTTAGGGGATGTAGGTTTAACTGTATAAACAGTTATCTGGACTGGCCTCGGTCCTGATAAGAAGGAGTATACTTTTAATAGTTTTAACTGGAGTCTTCTATCAAAATATTTTACTTTTAATTTAACCAAAAGTCAATCGGTTTGTTGTCATATACCTTCAAAAGATCAGATCAAAATACCTCTGTCATTAAAATGATATAACTTGTACCTGTAAGTTTTTTTGTAAATTGTTTAACAGTTTCATATTGTTCTAGTGGTGAAGAAGACGAGAATGCTGATGCAGACTCTGAATTGGTAAGTAGATCAAAGATAAAGAAGCATCAATTGTTTAATTGCTGAGGTTGTGTATATTAAAGAAAATTTAAAAAAATGTAATATGACGCCAATCAAACAAGGAACACTTAGGTACGCTAATTGTACTAGTGTTAATTATTCAAATAAAATAAAAACAAAAAGTCTTTGTTTCGTAATTGTAATCAAATGTTGTTGATACTATAACTAAGACTTAACCTTTTTTGGATATATTATTTAAGAACTTCAAGTTACATATAGAATATTGTCAACATAAATTTAGAGAAAACTTGTGTGGTGCAGCTGCAGATAAAAGATGAGATATTTGATGAGACCAGGACCTTCAGCTCAATGGGGATTGAACCGTCACTTTCATATCAAACCGAAGAAGTTGAATCACCTTCTGAGAACGCAACAGGTCCCAGTGCGTCAACTAACGGTATGTTTGATCATTGGGCTTTCAATAAATAGTCCTAGCCAATGAAACAGCTGGTCTTGGCCAGAAACAAATCTAACAATTAATATCAGTTATTTTAGATGGGGATGCCACTATGTGCATATTTTAACCCAAATATGAGTGAGGGATTAGTGTAGGATGAGTTGCGCGATCTTGTAGTCTTGTTAATGACTGGCCAACATGTTCCTTAGACACAGCTGTTAATTAATAGCCCATACAGCCAATGGCAACTAAGGGACCTACAGTTTATAGTGGAATCCGAACCACATTTTTCCTTGTAATAAACAAATTAGACATGTAATAAACATCAAGATAGTACTGCTGATAGTCGGAGTACTCACTAGTGCGGACGTTAATCCACAGCTTATCTCACTACATTAGACACTTACCCTGCAGTCGTACTCAAATTTGAATGCATACTCAGACTGTTTCAAGTGATCAAGTATTTAGAAACTTACCATTTAATCTAACTGGATGCTTTTCCAGCAACAATTTTGACAAGTTAAAAGAGCAAGGTCTGTCATTGGGTGCTGGTAAAATGTTAACTTTAAAACAACCATCAGCAGAAACATCAGTCAGTTCTTTTTACTAGGCCAAATCTAGCCCTCCAATCCAAGTTAGCTCTGCTTCATCTGATTTTAGTAGTTAACCTAATCTTAATCAACCAGGTAAGGAGAATCATAACTGTCCGTCATAATGCACATAATGATCCTGGATAACCCAATGGCTCGGATAATTAATTAAGAGTGTACTGTATCTCTAATCTGTAGCGTATTTTATATGTAGTTGTAAAATTAGTCATTGTTACATTGATTCTCAAAATGCTGGATCTTGGAGATTCTGTTCCACATTATAATATGCTAATTTAACTGTCCAATGTGTGAGTAAAACAGAAAGATTATATAGGCCTAAAGTCAGTGTTTTCATATAGATCTATGCTTCACCAAATTTCTAATCTTCTCATTACTTCTTCACAGACGACACTATGACAGACTTAGGAGAAGATTCTTCAGTACAGGTAGTAAAATCTTTAGTGGAAGAGACACTAGGAGCTTCTGCGCCAATGTTGAAGATTATCAGTGCTTCCACTGCCCCAGCAACAGAAATCTTCCAGGACCTTTCAGGCCAGTCACCCAACAAAACCTCTTGTTTTGTATCTGCCTGTGATATTTTTGATGGAATTTATGTCTCGCTTAAAACTGTCCCTAATGAACATAGAGAAGCTGCTAAAGTAAAGATGGTACAGCTTGTTAAGTATTTGTCTACAGGAAATGTAGATCCATCGACAGTGAAATTTTCATCAGTAACTTAAGTTTGGAGATAGTGAAGGTAGTTTTCTGTTTAAACGGGAACTTCACAACACATCTACAGAGCTGGGTCAAAATCTAAGGGGGACTCACAAGCAGTATCAGGTGCATACCTGATGTTTATTTAATGAACTTTTATATAACCAGTCATTTGGATAACCAATATCTGGACAATTTTGCTCTTCTGTAATTTTGAATGTACGAGGGCTGTTCAAAAGGTTATACTTTTATACTTTTTTTAATGAAATGGCGACCATACAAAAGTAGGTATTTTAAGCCAAGTATGAATTGAGATTAGGATGAGTGGCACGATCTTGATAGGAACGTTTTGAAATAAAATAACATTTTTGCAGAGGATAAAACATATTTGAAAGTATAACTGAAATACTAATTATGTACATAGTCAACAAACCAATTGGGGAACTTATAAAATCAGTGAAAGGGCGTTCAAATTCCTTTTCAAGTACAATAAAAAGACAATAAAAGTACGTTTTTGCAGACGGAATCTCTCAACCTACGGGATTTTTAAGCAGCTCATTTTTAATTTACACAATAATTTTACGACAATGAAGCACATTGACACTTACTTTTTGACATCAGGATTGTCATTGAAAAAGTGAACGTTTTTGTCAGCGCCTATTAGCATCAGACAGAAATGTTCCTCACTTCCTGAACGGCTCTCTTAGTTATTGTCATGGAGGATCCAAAGGTTATTTTATTTTTGAAGTCTGCAATCATAAATCAATTTTTTATTGCAATGGCTGTTTGCACTTGCGTTTTAGTTTATCTTTTAAGATAGTGGAACCAATCATGAGCTCCTTGTGTTTATTATTGTGTTATGTTTACTCAATTAATTTTTGTACATATCAATGAACTGTGATAACAAATCTTTACAAGGATTATTAAAAACTGTTGAATATAGTAAGTTTGATTACTGACATATTGTATAGTTGTATAATTTTTATTCATAATGTTTGTACTTAAAAGACTGATTTTTGTGCTATGTACATTTTATTAAGACATGATGGAAATACACTTAAGAATTTTAATCTTTGTGAGACTTTATTCCCCCTTATAGTTTTTTGTCAAGTTAAGACATAACAATATTTGAAATGAGATAAAAACCACCTCGGCATATGAGTTCATTCAATTATCGAAATTTGCATTATGTGGATGATAGGTTTACGTTTTATTAGTAAAGTGCTATTTTTTATTCAACTTAACATTTTTCTTAGTTTTACCAAACTACTAGTCAAATCATTAAATCTACTGCAACCTTTCCTAAGGAACAATCTTCTGGTCTTCTGTGGCTATTAGTGTGTTAGAATCAGAATCAATCTTTATTGTCTGTAAACATTTTACGGGGTATGCAGACCAGAAAACCCCTTCTTTACGCCAATATCAACCCATGTGCTACTCCCCCCTACCAAGAGGAAATAAATCTGGTTGTTACAATAATTACCATACATGTATCGAGTCTATTTTGATTAGAGTTGAGGAGAGATTACAACAATGATCCAAGAAAGATTTTTCATGTTTATCATTTGACATGGAAGGGATGCCCTACAATTAAAATAGCAGCAATGAGAAAAGACTTGATGGTCAGAATTTTCAAGAATTACAGAACTTGGGTCTTGAAGTTGCTTTGGTTATGCCTGGTTCACCAATGTAAAGTAGCAACAAAACAATAACAACCACATTATACAATTTAGTTATAACTTTTTCTGCTGGTTTTATAAACTGAGAAAATGAGTTAACATAAAAAAATTAAAAATAACAATGTGAGGACAAGAAAGAAGTGGAGGACCCATAGAGAATTTTAAGATGAGGCTGGAGTACCGGCTTTTTATTAACAAAATAGCAAATGTTTATTATTTTTCCAATTACATGTATATGTAAAAAAATTATAATAATTGCCAACTAAAGGGCATAATAAGGGAAGTGAATAAATACAATTCTAATTAAAAAGGTTAACAATCATAATTATTGTTATTATATTATATCTCATCTAAAGATATTTGTGGGATGGTTCCTTTTTGAATAACACCGTCCAATTGATGCTACACTCACTTTCATGTTCTTTGAAATTTTAGACCAAATAAATGAGAACATTGTGTTATTTTCCTGTTCCCATGGACACAAATCAATATTTACTTCCAAAGGCGCCTTCTCATAACTAAAAATTCTATGGGAGTACATATTTTTAACGTGTAGCACAGGCTCATGATACATTTTTTAAAGTTCTAATTTTACATTGTTTCCATAGGGCTATGATGTCCCCTTTACAAAATGACACAACCCCCAACGTTGTAACAGTTAACAGTGTTACTTACAGTTCAAAATTTTTGTGATATCACCCCATGAAAATTCGTAACTACCGCTTCCGATTACCCAGTATAATTGTTTTACATTTTTTTTTTTCAATAAAAGTTAGGATGTTCAATCTTAATGTGAAGCAACCGATTTATTTCCCAGTATAATTGTTATCATGTGTTCATATGCTGATGCCATTAATTTTAATTTAAAACAATTGTTACGGCTAGCCCATACCCACAGGCTACTTCAGTGCCTTTATCTAAAAGCCTTGACCTAGAATAGTGCAAGTAAACTATCATTATTTCATATTTGTCATTGGACTATATATTGATGTTATCAAACAAACAGTTGCAAGACCAAGGTTTGGACCAGCGACTTAATACAAAAACTGCAAAAATGCCATTTTATTTACACGTAAAATATAAATAAGCTCATCCCCCTTTCACAAATGTTTCTTGTTTAGTTACATAATGTAGAATACATTTTTCTTATTTTTAGAGTTTTATTACTGGGGGATCGGTAGTTTATTTTGATTATAAAAGCAATATAAAGGACACTTACGTTTTATTTACAACCAATTTTAGCTTATTATGTAGGTTACAGTTGTTGGTTTGAGGTCCACTTTCAGGTTTGATCAAATCAATTGCCTCAATACTTTGGGGATTAAGTTTTGGTAGGTAGTGCAGTAGAAATAGGGTTTGAGGTGGAACTAATTGCAACAGAAATTATTCCAGTTAGAAATGGTAGGTAATACACTTATAAAAAACATACTAAAAATATACATTTGTACTGTAACGCAAAATACGGTTTTTTGGTCGCCATTTAAAACAAGTGTAAAATTTTAAATTATTGTTAAACAATCTGGTTTGGTATCAAATTATAGAACATTTTATGCTGGAAAAGAATATAATGGTTGAATTTAAAATATACTGTTAACAGTGATACACTATGGGTGAAAAAAAGGTGCGTTTAAAAACGTGGCATTTGAAAATTTTTTTATTTATAAGTTATTTTATACTTTTAAAATTTGTTTTTTTTTTTCATTTTTGACCCTTAAAACGTAAAATTTCCCAATTTCTCTCTTGACCTAAAGAGCTTAAAAAACAAATAGTTAAGTATATCAAAGGGGCTTTGTACGATTATTGGCAACGGGGAAAATTCAAAAAATTGGAAATTTAAAATCCCCATGTTATTCTTTTGGAGAATATGGTAAAAAGTTGTAGTTTCCTTGTTTATGGATATATTTTGATAAAACTTTGAAGATTCATTTATTTTATACTAAACAATTAATATTTTACTAAAAACACACTTAATTGGTTTCCTTGTAGCACAAACCTTGGTACTCGTTTCGTTAAACCTAATGTTATTTATTTAATAGACTAGCAACAGAGCCCATTGTGGTTAAATTAATGCAACGGTCTCTAGTAAAATAATGGTTATGAAATCCATACACCACTTTACTCACTAATATTTGGTACATATTAAGCTCATAACATTAGAATCACACACTTAACATAAGAAACACACTTTAAACACAAATGCAAATTGTTAACAACAATATTTAATCAAAGAAAATTTAATTAAATAACAATATAACAATAAGCTGTTAAATTATCAACTCATTTTTCATATGGTTAGATTATGCATACTGGTAAATCAATTATTGCCATCTATAAAAATAATTGATTTTTCTTTTCCGAGTCAGGTTAGCTCTTCTACCAGACCGATTTTCATAATTTTGGCCTTAAGCCGGGTTTACACTATGTAGCTAAACCTGCTACATTGCAGATTTGTGTAACATCCTGCAATGTTATATAACATTTGCTAGAAGTAGAAAAAGTAACTTTACAAAAGTGCTATATAACACTGCTATATGTAGCAGATCCTGCTATATATAGCTAAAATTGTGCTATCCATCGGGAGTCGGTAAATATCAAAAGAAATGCGTGCTACATCTAACATTGCCATATGTAGCAATGATATACATATATTTTTTGTCTAGCATCTGCTATATGTAGCACTGAACGGTTTTGCTCAGCGATCTTGGTTTACAATGGAAGGACTGGAAACGGAAAGTGGCAGTGCCTAGGATCGGGATGATATTATCGAGGCTATTGATATTATAAACTTAATTAAACTGTTCCGTGGACAACCGGCGTTGTGATCATACGTAAAACGTTTTTGGAGTTACCGTCGCCTTATTTAGCGTTTTAATTATGGATTGTCAGGGTATTCATCATCCTTAAGGTCCCGTAATAAATCTGCTACACTGTACTTATTTCTCGAAGCAAGAAGCGGTCAAACCTAAAACTTGCTAAAATCTTCGCTCCTGTCTGTCTCTCTCTCTGACTTCCAAGATCACCACGATAGCTGCCACGAACAATGTCTCTTCAGCGCACATTTCGATACGGAATGCGAATGAGGTTGTGCTACATATAACATATAGCACGAGCACCAGAATCACTAAAATTGTTTGTAAATTTTTCATACAGCAAAAGTTATAAAGCAATGTTATATAGCAAAAGTTATATAGCAGGTTTTGCTACATAGTGTAAATTCGGCTTTAAACTAAAGCTATAGACACACCATAGATTTGCTATTAAGCATCAGCACTCATTTTGACGTATATTTTGAGCTATGCACAAACTGCCTCCCTATACATTACTTACGGGAGTTAAATTTGTTTTTTTTTCGAGTTCGTTTGGCTCTTCTACCGGACCGATTTTCATAATTTTGGTCTCAAAGCTATGCAAGCACATATTTTTCATCATTAATCTATCAAATGTATAACCCTACGAAAACAATTAAATTGGATTTTTTCAATTTTTACTTCAATTTAAAATGTATTCCAGCAGTTACATTATCCTATATGTTTTTATCTAAAAATCTTCAGTGAAATACTAGATTCCATTGGAATTATTGATTATTGAGATTGGACGTACCTAAAGCACACTGCTAAATTATAAACGACCCAAATTGCTTAAAAATGGAGTTATCTATCATCGATTTATAGTTAAAAAGATCTTACTGGCAAACTCAACAGTACCTAAGCTAATTGTCGACGTTGACGGGTTTCACCTAGCAAATCTTAAAAAATCAAACTTTAATAATTATTTGAAAATCTACACGAATTCCTTTCCAATGACCCATTAGGTTATAAAATCGGTCCAGTAGAAATCTAGATTTAGCTGTACAAAGATTTTTAAAACTGAATTACTAGATTTAATTGAAAATCAATTAAGACAAATGGAAATTCGTTTAGTCTGTAGGTTTGCTGCGGCGGGGGTATTTTGTACTATACGATCGTTTTTCTAAATAGTGCTTATAACCACTATTATAACATTTTTCAGCATTAAATTTCCTATAATTTGATACCCAAAAAGTTATTTTTACGAATATTAAAATTTTGACACTTTTTTCAAGATGGCGGCCAAAAAAAGTATTTTGCGCCACAGTACGGATGTATATTTTTAGTATGTTAATTAGAAACATACTACCTACCATTCACAGCAAGAATCATTTGTGTTGCAATTAGTTCCACCTTAAGCTATATTTTCGATTATTTCTACTGCACTAAGGAGAGAGCCAAGTAAAATAATCCGTATTGGAATATTTTGTTTTATATCGAGTAATAATAATATTCTGTGTTCTAATCTTAGCTCATAGTAACAACTGATGTTTTCCCTTTTTGACTGTATTTTGTAAAAAGCTAGTGCTAGTATACTGTGAAAAGGTTTGTTATAAACACATGCTGCAAGTCTTTTGTTTACGTTTTCCTTGTTTTGTTGTTTACCAACATAGTTACTTGGCAACCCATACAAGTCCAATGTTAAAATTTCAAGTGAGTTGTGTAATGAAATACGAATTGTCCTGAGGTAGTGCAATGAATACACATATTCATTGGGTAGTGAGTGCCTGTCGCTAATCAAACTTTAATTATTTACAACATTTGAAGGAAATCCATGAAGCCATTTTTGGGATCTTACTAGCAAAGATTGCTCATATACGATTTAGGATTTTTGATTTATTGTTCAGTTTTATAACTTGGAGACAAGTTATGGTTTATTAATTAGTTCGATAAATTGGTGTTAAAATAAATACCAGAAGCAAAAATAGTGAAGAACAAATTACCCTCTACATGAACTGGATGCAACCAACATTAACACTGTCACCCCTTTCATAGGGATGATAAATAAATCAGGGGGTGTATGTACTAAAAGACTATGTCAATATTGATAAGAGAACATTTATAAATACAGAAATGTGGTCAGAGAGTTAACCCTACAAGAAGAACACACAAGTGTTCCCACTAGTGAGGTACAGGTACAGTCTCGTGGTAGGCCTACGTTGCGACGTTGCCGCTACCGCTCTAGACCGCCGCCAGATGTCAGCAGCTATCAGTGACCTTGGACAGGTTATCACAGCTGCAGGTGGTAGTCTGTGCGGTGTCGCGAGTGATAACACAGCCTCCCATCTCAACATGAAGCCAAACAAACAGGTAAGTCTGTGTCTGTTATCAGAGATTGTAAATGTTGTTAGTCTTTGATTCTTGTTCATTAAGTTTTAAACAGGAACAATGCGATATTTCGGGTATGTTTTGTTTGTGGTCTTGATGAGTTATATTTTTGTATTACAATCCACGCTAGACGTTTCTCTGTAAACTTACTCGTACAATTTTACTTTTGAAAACAAGAACGTCAATATCTGAAAAATGCGTCATCATTTCGGGTATATTTTGTATTTCGTATTTGGCAGTGCATTATAACACAATGCACTACGATTGTCTACACTTTGTTTCTCTGTAGCATCATTGAATGCATAATCGTCAACAATGTTAACATCCTCTCACAATGTCACTAATCTTAAACATTTTCGTGTATTTTTTCATGGTCTTTTGTGTTGGTAAATCCTTCACCATTCATTTAATCACGATTGTCAACATCTACACTAGACCTCTCTATGTCCAGTAGCAAACTCATTCATAATTTTCATCAAGTGTATGACGTTTTACCGTATTATCAATAAGTGTTTGGCTTCAATAGTGTAGTTTGAATGTCATTGTGTTAATGGTTTCCGATTTAGGTTATGAATGAAGTTGATTTATGGCTCTAACTGGACTTATATTTCCTTGATGGTTAGTATTTTAATAGGTAGGCTACATTCAATCGTCGTATACCTAATTTAACCACGTAATTTCAGTCCAGTTTACCTTAACTCTACATTATTTTGGTTTTAAAATACAAACAACCGCGTGATCTTCTGGGAATAACATTGAGTATTTAATTGTGTTTGTATGTTAATTTTGCAATTATTTCAATGCAGCTTTACCGTACCAGATGAAATTTACGTTAAAAGCCAGAAAGTTTTTCAAAATTAACATTTTCTTTGGTCTTTATCGTTTATCAAAATTAATTGTGTAGGCTACTATATATTATACACAAGCTACTATAAACCATTCATACAAATGAATTTACATTCTTAGTGTTTACACCACAGCTTGGTCTCGTGAAGTTTGCAAAATTGTGGAAGTGGTACACAGAAAATTTCAAATAGGACTATGTTAAAGTTTTTTAGTACAATTTTGGGGGAAATACACATAGGTACCATAACTGTTTTTACCTTTGCATTTGGAAGTAGGTAGACATACTAGTTTTAAAAGATGTTTTGTAAAACAATTTCATAACTTTTGCACATAATTTAATTTGAACTATAAGTAGGCTTACTCGAGATTACACTTACAAGTTTGTGAGAAGGCGGACATAATATATTTGTTGAAGTAAAAAAACTCTATTCTGAGCACGAGCTTCTAGAAACTACTAAACGAATTAGTTAATTGGCCAATGATGAGTTACAATTAAATTTAAACAGACTTCCTTATACCTTTAGCTTTAGTCTTAGAATAAATCCAGTCACCCTCTAGGTCTTCTCTAAGTTCTCTGTTTACGAGTTTGGAAAGTATTTTGTTATTTGGTTGTTATTGTTTTAGAAGGTCAAATTCACTTTTCAGATTATTTGCCCTTTTGGATTGGTTATTTTTTTAAGTCGTTGTTATTTTTAAAGTGTCAAAGATGGCATAACCTTTTACCTTTACCTCACACACATCACGGTTAAAATGGCAGACATTACGGTTAGAGACAGACATTTGTGCAATTGAATGACGTAAAATTATGTTTCATTACGTAGGTTCTGCTACTTTCCGTCAAGTGAAACTAAATGCTACACCTCTTTAGATATGAGAAATAAAATAACAAACTTGTAAAACGTATTATACAACTTATAATGAAAACACTTGACGTCAACTTATACTAGACGTTCTGTGTTTTAACGGTAGTAAAATCAATTAATATTGAAAGTAAACTGTAATTTGCATTATTTTACATTTTCATGCGTAATCCACTGCAGAAATCACTATTTTAAGTACAAAATTAGATGATTTCGTGGGGAAAATCCACCAATACCTCGTGAAATGTTGGGATTTGTCTGGAAGTTACTAAAGTTAAGAATTATCTTCGGGTGATATAGAGACACCCGTGATCGCTTTGGTGCCAGTTTCAACGTTTCAATCCAAAACCAAAACGGAGGGTGTGTACTATGTGTAGGTCCCATTTAGACCTATAGCCTACCAAAATAATTACAAGTAGGTACCATTTTATTGCTGTAGTTTTAATCAGGTCATGAAGTACATCTTTATAAAGTAAATTTCTGTAAATAGCCTACAGTAGGCATTCACGTTCTCGAATAAAAAAAAACTTATTTTCAAGAGGACCTGGTCCTCATAAAACAGCGTCAGGCCGGTGGGGTTTCGGTTTCGGCTCACTGGACTGAATATCACGATATTTTTTTCAAGTTTTGTACGAGCAAGGTACTGCAAGAGGTGACATTCGTGGATGTAGCACTGGCACTGTAGAGGGAATTGATCACGGGTCTATAAGTGTCGTCATAAATCAGAACATTGAGGGTTTTGTCTCCCACAAAAGTTGTCGAGACTTATTTGTTGCCACTATAAAATTATCCGAGACTACCTAGGTTCATATTTATACAGCGCGCTAAAATATTTTCGACATTTTGTTATGTCATCAATATTACCTAACATTTTTGTGACTTAAACTGCTTATTATTATAGGCTATTCGTCTAAGAATTATTACTTACTTATTACGATTTGAAACCATTAACTTGTTCTTGTCCATAATTCAGTCCATATTTCATTCGTATAAGAAGGTACTTGTATAGAGCTAGGTTGTCCAACCTTTTATTGTGCTACATTGTGATTCTGGTTCTAGGTTCTGTATTTTGTGGGTTGCTTTTTCTCTCTACACCCGTTTCAACAGTAAGATATCCCATATAAGTTGTCGACATTACATACTATTTCAACATTTGCCTGAAATATTGGGTACTTTAATTTCATTGCATATGATCAATAGGGTCAGGTAAGCTTAACATTTTTAATCATATCATACGACGTTTATAGACACCTTTCAATAATTTCGCCCTATTAACGACATTTTTAATCTTTTTGTTAGGTTGGTTAAGGTTTAGTTTTACATTATGTGACTTTTATAGACACCTCCCAAGTCTCGAGCCCACTAATATAATTTCTATACTGTTATCTAGACTAATAAGGGGAAAAGATACAGTAAGAGTTAACATGGTTACATGTGCCTAGTTCTCAGCATCCGATGTATCATTTTTATATGAAATATTAAATGAAAGACAAAGTTATATAACATTTGTAATCACTTTGCAAATGGTTGCCCACAATATTTTTTGGTCATAATAATATCTTAAGACAGTAACGTCATTTTTTCGTAACATAGTGTAGCCTATACAGAGTTACGTAATATTTAGTTCGGCTATCTCACCTGTTTCGACAAGATTTAACAATCGTCCACAGCTGTTATCTCTCACCTAGTTCTGCAGAAAACAGTCATTCTCTTATCAGCTGATGACTCAGTGTAGACTGCAAGCCCAGCATACTTGTTCGGGAAATTGTTGCAATCCAAGTAACTTTAAGAGCAACTCATTGTTTGCCACGTCTATCTCATCACTGTCATGATATTCAATCTGTACAGGGTGTTAAATACTTTAAAATTCTGACAGTGCAGAAAACGCATATACAGACTTTAACACTCACAAACTACAATTTTCAAAACTAATTTTTCAGAGGAAAGAAATGTTACAATACAATGCAAAAAAGTACAGAAGAAGTTGTGTTATGTTTGAAGAGATTTGCGGTCTCTTCGCCCCGCGTGGAACTTATCAAGCAAAGGAAGGGATGGCCGGAACAGTACAAGAATGACCTGTATTGATAAATATTATTAGTTGCAGCAGCACCAAGTCGCGCACGACATAGCTATTAAGACGGTGACACACTATCGATCTTTTCCCCGAACAAGACCCCGAACCGAGCAGGGAGAAGGGAGGTCGAAGGGAGCATGTTCGATAGTGTGTCACGGGTCCGTACTGGGTCCGTACACCGAACCAGACATCAGGCCGAGCAGGGAGACGAGCGCTCTGGAGGCGGTTTTTTGGTGAAAGATCAAAGAAAAGATCGGTCCGATGTACGGAGTGATGTACGATAGTGTGTCACGGTATATTTTTTGCCCCGTACATCGTCGCGAGCGCCGCACCGAGCGGCCGCCTGCGCTAGCGTTGATAGTTCTAATTTAATATGGAATTTAAACTCTTTAATTGCTAAAATAAATGTTGGGTAATTTTTTGCCGTTATATATTATGGGCATTTATGTTGTAATTTTGATGTTTGTTTGGTCAAGGTTGAAAATGTATTTTACAAGTTGAAACCGTTAAATCAATGATACCAATGATGTTTAACTTGAATTTAGTAATTGATGTTATACTTTAAATCTTTAAAAATTAATATAAACATAAATATTATTAAAGGAAATCAAAATTATTATTCTGTAACATGTTATTTCATGTTGTATTACTGTTTTAGTATTATTGCCTCTGCGCTCTCACTCACACACGCTCTCCATCTCTCTCTAAACTCCCTTTGTCGCGCTCGGTAGAACTTGTCTGGTCTTGGTCTTGTTCGGGGAAATGTTCGGATTGAAAATTTGCAGATTTTTACCTCCCTTCTCCCTTCTCCCTGCTCGGTTCGGGGTCTTGATCGGGGAAAAGATCGATAGTGTGTCACCGCCTTTAAGATTCGTATAGTTTGTATGATGTACATGTTTCCTGAACCTCTGTCCTGATTTCGTCCAACCCTGCAGGCTGTGATGGCACGTATTTTTTGAATACCCTGTATTGTGAATACAATTAATACAAAGGAAACTCCACGTTTTTTATCCACCGTCGGCGTGTAACTCCTGCAGCGTAGAATCTTTACCATTAGCTGAGGTTGCCCAATTAATCAGCTTCCAGTCATCCTTGAAGCATCGGTCACGACTGTGACGTCACTGCTTGATCATCCGTGGTCACCAGGGTCAAGGTCACAGGACCGGTTCCGGGGTCGAGGAAAATGAGGATGACGAGACAAA